TTAGCGTACTAGGTTCAATATATTTTAAAAAATGGACCAATATTTGTTGAAAATAATTTTTAAGTTATGAAGCTATACAAATAAAACCGGTTGCTTAGAGCAACAAAAAAAGTTAAGGTTATACTTACAAAAATACTATTCGAATCTATTCAAATTCGTTTTAATCGAATAATTCGTTATTCGTATTCGTGTAAATCAAATAATTCCTTATTCGTTTAAATTGAATAATTCGTTATTGAATAATTCATTATTCGTATTCGTATCGAATATCGAATAACAAATAATTCGTTTTAGGTATAGTTAAGGTCCACAAGACCATTTTATTAAATTGTATATAAAAATACTTGAACTGATCAAATTAATTCAGAAAATGTGGCCAACCAGGCGGTAGCTTAAAAAAAATAGCTCTCGTTCTAAGTATTTGGGATGGGGAAGGGGGGAGTGGCCTTTATTTTAACCCAATGCGCATGCGCTAATAATAGTAATTAATTGGTGCCCAAAAGGACAGAAACACTCACGTATGGGATTACATAAATATTGGTAAAGGTTTTAACAGATTCGCTTAAATGGGGATTTAAATAGTAGCACTCATTCATTCGTTGATATTTTTCCCATAATTTTACGGTTGAACCAACTTTCGTTCAACAACAATTTTAATTTTAACTAAAATCGCGTAAAAGTGCGAAAAGTCGCGAATCCAATATAGAATATATTTCCCCACAAACTTTTTTAATTTTCATAGGAAGACCGGTCGGTACAAGTTGACATAAAATAGACAAAGGATTTTTTTTTAAAATATTGATTTTTGTTGAGAATTATGGAGACGTGTCACGTGATATATGTGGTTTATAGATCGTGTTTATTATGTCAAATGAACTCCATATTTTTTTTTATTATTTCAAAACATTATTATTACAAAGCAAACAAGCATTTAATTTGACTATAATTTGATTTAATTATTTTCCAAAAATTTATTTTATTTTATTTTGTCTTTTTTTAAATTTTATTTTGTCTTTTCTTTTATTTTCGTTTTTTTTTTGTTGTGAAAATATCTACATTTTAAAATTAAGGAAACCCTTACCAGTCTGGTCCAATCTTGGGCCCTAATTTTTTATTTGTTTTTCGTTCAAATTGGAACGGAGTCGGACATCTTCTCTTCTCTTCTCTTCTCTTTCTCTTCTCTTCTCTTCTTCTTCTCTCTCTTCTCTTCTCTTCTCTTCTCTTCTCTTCTCTTCTTCTTCTCTCTCTCTCTTCTCTTTCTCTTTCTCTTCTCTTCTCTTCTCTTCTCTTCTTCTCTCTTCTCTCTCTCTTCTCTCTCTTCTCTTCTCGTCTCTTCTCTTCTATAAAAATTTATTTTCTAATTTTTCCCCTTTCGTTGAAAAGTCATACCTTTTTTTTTCCTCAATCCAATATTTTTCTTTGATTTTTTTTTGTCGGATCGGATTAGAACTAAATCAGTTGGAACTATAAATTTTTAAGAAATATTTTTTCGTAACACGCCAGAACCTGATAATAGGTTTGATGCGGGTTCTAATAAGAGTTACTAAAAGATTATTTCGAGATATATTGTATCGTGATACTTTTAACGACTCTGGTTCTAAATATTAATGTTATCTATTCTCAATAAAAAAAAATTAAATAATTAAATTTGAAAATGCCTAAATTTTATATTAAAAAAAAATAAAATTAAAATTAGGTGTGAATCGGTATATATACAAAGAAAGATAGAAGAAAAAGGATGAGAAAGAAAATTAAAATAAAATATAGGAAAGAAAGAAAGAAAGAAACAAAATTAATTACGTCAAACATATAATTACAAATCATTTACCCCCCCCCCCGAATCTATTCATTAATTTAATTGTCATTCAATTTGAATTTTTTTAAAAAAATATATATTTCCGTTTTATGACAATTTAATTATTTTTTTTACTTCACAGGTAATTAACAACTTTTTAATTTCATTTTTTTTTAAAAAACATTTATAAGAACTTAATTAAAAGTAAAAAATTGATTTAATTATAGTTTATTAGTTTTACCTTTATGGGTTACTATTTTATTTCAAATAAAAAAAATTTATAAAGAAAAGAAAAGAAAAGAAAAGAAGGAAGGAAGGAAAGAAAGAAAGAAAGAAAGAAAGAATGAACGAAAGAAAGAAAGAAAACTAAATGCTTAGGTAGCTTCGTGGTGGCTCATTCTCAAGGTTAATGGCGAAATGATCTGCAAAGCATTGAGGATGCAAATTAATTTATTATCGCTTTCTTCAAAATTGAGATATATTTTCAAAAAGTAAAAACTTTTGGGTTGGGGGGTCATATTTTCCTGTTGAAGACTTAGGTTTAGCAGTTTTTTTTAGGTTAAAAAGCCCGATTAATCATTCATGCCCAACAATCATTAGCTTCAGTCAGAAACTGCTAAATTGTCTAAAGTTATGGCATCGATTACCTCTTTTGTTCCAGTTTCCATCATAAACGCAAGTGGGAAAAAACTTATTAGGGACTCACGCCTCAGTTGGGGAGGGGAGGGGAGTCAAGTTATGAAGGCGACTATAAAATAATGCATTTATTTATGTTTATATAAGTTAGTTTACACCAAATGAGTCTAAAAAAATAAAAATATTTTTAAAATCCCAAAAATCTAAAAAAAAATTAAAAAATTGACTAAACTGAGAATACACATCATAACTCCAAAATATAATGATGAAAACTTAAAAAAATTTTTTATTTTATGTTTATATAAGTTGGTACCAAACCAATTAATCCAGAGCGAAGAATTTATGCTCCTATAATTCATATTATTTTTAATTAAAAACTAAAATTTTAATATTTTACGCCATCTAGCGGAATTTTATTTATGATATATAAAATATTTATGAGTGTTTTATTTTCTATATAATAGATCTGTTATACTTATTATAAATTTATAAACTACAATATCTTTCCTATTCTTATTTATATATTTAGATAATTTTAATTTTGGATAAAATTGATTTTTATAATAAAAACCTTTTTTTTAAAGTTTTTAAAATATAATTGATAGGCCATAAATAAATTTTACCTGTTAATTCTCAGATTCTCGGTCCCATAATTTCTAGATAGGGGGCATCTAAATGAGATTGCTATTAATTTAATCGGAATTTTTATTTTTGCAAATTTATATTAGTAAAAGATCTTTGTAATCCCATCAACTTAAAATAGTATTATTATCATCTCCACATCATACATCTTCTCTTCTCTTCTCTTCTCTTCTCTTCTCTTCTCTTCTCTTCTCTTCTCTTCTCTTCTCTTCTCTTCTCTTCTCTTCTCTTCTCTTCTCTTTCTTCTCTTCTCTTCTCTCTCTTCTCTTCTCTTCTCTTCTCTTACACGAAAGCTCAGATAATATTATTATTTTATTTACTTTAAAATTGATTAAGTATTTAACCAGATGTATATATAAGTATTTGGAGAAAAAAAAATATGATAACTTTTTTGAACTTATAATAATTAAAAAGTGTTATAAATAGAAAGAAAGAGAAGAAATGGATTGGAAAACAGAAAAAGAAAAGAGAGAGAAAAAAAAATAAATTAAGTTTATATGTGACATTACCTATTTTTTATTAACCCCCCCCCCCCTCCTTGGGCATCATTTATAGTGAACGCGGAATACCGCCTTGTCGCTGCTCAAACTATTCCTAAATTTACAATTATTAAACTATACAAGCTATGATGGAATCGGTTAGGGAAATAGTTGAGTAATAACCAAATGTCGGGTTATTCGACCCGATCTTCAAACTCTAGCCGGAGATAATCCGTCAACATTGAGGCGGTTTAATTTATATTAGTTTCTTCCAAATTTGAGCCGTTATCTTTTCTTTTTTATAAAAAAAACCCGAGGTCAGTTTTCGGCTAAAAACTTGGTTTGGCGGATGTTTTGGCCGGCTAAAAATATACTAATTACCCAACTATAGTTAGCGATGATGAATTCTATCGACTTGAGCGATACTAATAAACGGTGCCTCACTAAGATAAGAATGCAACAACTGTCTAACAAACAAATTAGGACAGTGACATCTTTAGGACAGTCGTAGCTTAAACATATGATTTTCTTGCCAAAAGTGAAGTTATTTTTTACATAAAAAAAATCGGCCTAACCTTGGAAATGGATTTAAATCAATAAAAATCATTGCAAATTTTTCGATGTGGATTGATGATAATCGATCACATTAAGTGTTGTGTTGGGTAGTTATATATTTATGAAACATAGATAATGATCAAGAGAGTAAACATTGTCATAATAACTTCTTTAGTTATACCCCCCCCCCCCTTCTTCCTTTAATAATTACCTTTTTTTCAAAAAATAATTTTAATAAAAAAAATCAATAAAATTTTTATTAATTCTATCGAAATAATAGATTAAAATGACAAATTATTGGGAAAACAACCTTGGGTAAACTGACGAAATTTCCATAAAATTATTCAGAAAAATTTGTTTTTAGGCAAAACTTAATTAAAAAAAAGGAAGTAGAAATTCCAGAAAGATTGAATGGCAAAAATGATCTCTCTTTTTTACAGGAATAATCATTTTAATCAAGGCCGGCCAAAAAATTTTTTTTTTCTTCAAAATTTAAATAAACCGAAATTTTGGCAAAAGGGTTATAAAGTTGGTTTAATTTTTTTATTTAAAGTTATTGATTGATTTGCATCAATAATATCAAAAAATAATGAATAAATTATAAAATGTTGCTGATATTCTAAGTTGAAATTTGAGAGGAAAATTTAATTAAATTAATTTAATGCTATGTCACTTACGATCATTCTATTTGATTAAATTTTCTTTTCTAAATCAATAATCTTTATTTTTATTATTTAATATTTATTTTATTATTTTTATTATTTTATTTTTCCAGTGGGAAAGAAACAAAGAAAAAAGACCTTTTAAAAAAATTATTTTTATTTTTATTATTTTTATTTTTAAAAAATAGTATTTTTATTTTTCGAAAAGTAAAATTTATTTTTTTCCCTTGTGTTTGTATAATAAATTTTATTTTATTATATTTTTTTTGAAAAAATTTATTTATATTTACTCTTTTTTGATAAAAATATTTATTTAAAAAAATAAAATTATTTCATCACTTGTTCATAATTCCGTGAAACAACCAGGTAAAAAAAAAGGAATTTCATTTAATTTATATCTTTTCCTTAAAATTTATTAAAAATATATTTTTATTAGTTATAATAAGATTAGTAAACATTTGTATAGGTAGAGATAATTGGTAAATATTTAAAAAAATATAAAATTAATAAATGACCTCCAAAATCACTTTATTTTAAAAATAATATTTAATAACAAATAATTGTCCAAAACGAAATTATTTCTCTTATACAGATGCAAGATATTTGGAGACATCAGATATTTTAAAGCTAACTTATATGCCATCTACATTAGACCTTTTCATTTCATTTTAATATTGAATTTGTTTTAATATTTAAATGACAAAAGAAAATTAAATAAATATCGATTCTATTCATTTTCTATTTTATTTATGGATAATAAATAAGTAAATAATAAATATATTATATAATTTGATTTCGCAAATAATTTATATATTTTTTTTTTCATTCATTCACCCAAATATAAAAAAAAATCAGACGAAAACAAAATATTTTAAAAATAAAAAAGAATTCGAAAAAAAAATAAATTAAATTATATATTATAAAAGGTAAAAAAAAATATTTGTTTATTCAATTTTTATATTTTCTAAAATATCTATCTATCTATCATTTGATTTGAATTATGATAATTTAATTTACTTACGAAATACACTCCAAGGGGTTAATATAATTTCTTATAAAATATATTCTTTTCAATATCTTTTGGATAAGTTAAAAAAAATAATATATATATGTTCTTTCTTACTAGTGTTGTTAAACCGTTCGATTTGAACCGGTTTTTAAAAACGGTTAACTCAATATTTTAACCGGAAAAATATTTCCTAAGTCTTGGGATTTCGTTAATCAAACAGAATCTTAAGTGCTGATTGCATAATATTTATCCTAATAAAATATTAAGTTAGTCCATTTTAAAAATAGTTCTTACCCAAATTTTTAAACTCGTATAAAATTGCTCAATTTTACATTGTCTTTTCAGGAAAGGTTAAAATTTTTAATCTTTTTACTTGATTTTATAACTTCCAATATATATATTTTTTATATTGTTGCCCTCTTCAGTAGAACTTTAAACAGGAATACAGATAAAATAACCAGCTATCAATTCACCCAGAGAAAATAAAGCTTTTTCAGTCAATTAACGATCTTCGTTACGACCACATAACATACACTACACTACACCCAACACTAAAAAATAATGTTCAACGCGTTGTCAAAATACGTTTCGGGTTATTTGAAGAGAAGCAATTCCTTGCACTCTCCAGCCGATCTCAGTGGCTCCCCGATCAATATCAACGACAGGGCGGATATTAACTTTCCATCCCTCATCCCCAAAGGGGATATAACCACCAAAGAAATCGATAACGAATGGATATTCGTAGCCGAAAAAAGTTTAAAATTTTTTTTATATTTTATATTAGTCATCTGCGTCAGACCTAATTTTACGAGCCCGGATACCGAACGAATTAACCCGTTTCGGTCGAACCGGGTACGGGCCGGACCTTGATTTGCGGATCTCTATTTTATATTAACCCCGAGCCTTCATCATCCACGGGAAAAATATTTTTAACAAAATTATAAATATCAGACTCTGCATGGGTTTTAAATTATTTTTCCATTTTCGAACCCGGATCGTATTCGGGTTTTTGACTTTTTTAAATCTTTGCGAGTTCCGGGCCGGTTAGGGTCGGGTCGGACCTACAGGCCCCTACTGATTATATAATAAGATGAAACGCTACAATCAATCTAATTTATAAAAAGTTATACAAAATAGAAAAGTTTAACAACGTTATTCGATTATACCTAGTGTTAAACGGCTCAATTTCAGCCGATATTTAAGAAGGGCTAACTCAGTATTCTATCCAGAACAAAATATCGTGAAAATCTGAAAAGATTTTGCAGGGAAATCCCTATGCTTTGCCAATATATTTTTTAAAGTTAATACGATATAGAGAGAGAGAGAGAGACCATTCAAAATACAAGGAATTTTACATTTTTCAAAACATCACTTTTTAAATAATATAAAATGTGTTACATACACAGATAGCCTCTTTATCTTTTACTATTCATAAAGTTATTCGTAAAATAAAAAAAAACCTTTTACTAACTAACATGACATAAAATATAATACGTTATCTTAAACATCAATCCCCCCTTTTTTTTCTCGTCTGTCTCCCAAACTGACTTTTGTTTTTAAAAATAAAAAACAACTTTATGATTTGATTGGTGGAAAAAGTTTTGTTTTTTTCGTTATGATATTTTCTTGTTCTTTTAAATCTTTGAATAATTTCAAAAAAATTAATGTATGTCAAATCAATTTAGTATAAGAAGCTACCGACTAGCAAAGGTAAATAATAATACAAACACAAAAGCAAGTTCATCAAAGCAATAAATAGAAAATAATTAATATCGAAATTTTAATTTATTTTTAAACCTTTATATTTGTTTTCATTTCTCTTGTAATTGTTGTGTTTTGTCATTTACAATTTACCGGGTTACCATTTAATCAGCTGACCCCAAAAAATTTAAATTTTTTATACTCAGCCTAGATTTTTTATTTGTTTACGAGTTTTTAAAATTTCGCCATTTTGTTTTTTTTTTTGAAGAAGAAAGTGAAATTTGTAAACAAAGGAATTGTTTAAAGGATCCAATTAAAATTAAATTTAAAGACTAGTTAATTCCTGTATAATTTTTGCTCCAGACCTGTTAATTTTCTGGTATGCAAGTCTAAGATTTATCAGTAGATTATCATATGCGATTTCTAAACAAATAGGTGCGTTTAGTGATCTGCATCGGGCCTAATTTTTCAAGCCCGAACCCGAATATATTTCAAAACGTTTTTCCGGCCCGGCCCGAACCCGTAATTTTTTTAAAAATATTAGGCCGACCCGGCCCGAACCCGATATCTTTTTTTTAAAAAAATAAGAAAGTATTAAGTTTTCGAGTGATACATACATTTGAAGCGTTTGTATCAAAGTACCCTCACCCCCAGGCGAGTAGCCAGCGCGGGAAGGCGAATCCCTTCCTCCCTCTTAGTAAAAATTTTAAGATTTGTGAATCGCAAAGTAGGTATAAAATAACCGTTTTTATTCCAATTTTGGATTCATTTTAGGACTCAAATCAATGAACGATTTGTGAGGCGGGGATGTGAACCCAAACCTGGGTTCGGGAAATTTAAAATTGTTTGGTTGGGCATTTTGGAACCACAGAACAAACAGAGACCGATTTTAGGACAGCTCATTAAACCCGGGGTTAAATGGACCTGGGGGCAGGTTCGGTTCCTCTTAGGAAATCGTTTTCGATCAAGTTCGTGTTATCAAAATTTCGATTAAACGAAATTTAAAATTCTCGAAACCGGGTTCCGATTCATATCCCTGGAGGATGTATTAAATATCGATATCGAAAAATATATTTAAAATTGAAATTTTATTGGGGTGTATTAATCGGGGCATCTAAATCCCCAAGATAAAACGAATCACGGAAAAATTGGCGCCATCGGAAAGAAGATTAAATCGAACATAAATTTGTTTAACCTTTTCAAATCATCATATAAATATATTATTTTATATTTTAGTGATCTACATTGGAGGTCCGCATTGGGCAGGTTTTCCGCCCCTCCCGTACATCTAAGTGTGGCATAGCGGGTGCGGAGGTCAAAAAATGTTTAAACTATAAGCGGGGGAAAGGGGGTTGAAAATATTTAAAATTTTTATTATTTAAAATCATTTCAATCAATAATTAATACTATTAAAATCCTTTTATTGAAATGCAATAAAATTTTTAAACTTTTTTTTTGGATATTAAAAATTAATGAAAATATTTTTGCATTTTTTATTGTTATTATTTTAAATTAGAAAAAAATGCTGAAACTGCACCATTATTTTTTTTTATTTAAATGCTTTTAAAAATTCAAAAAATGGCCATATTTAAATTTTATAACAGCTGGCCCGGGTTAAAATTTTGTATAAATAATGGGCCAGCGGGTAAGGGACTTAAGATTGATGGGCGGGCGGACGCGTGGGTACTCGCCCAATGCAGACCAATAATTTGCATAACCCGTTTTGCTAATTTTTTAACAATTGTTTCCATGCTTCAAAAAGTCCTTTCAAATTTACAAAAAAAATTAATTCCTGGCTACGCGCCAGACCCCCCCCCCCCCCCTTCCAATTTGAAAGAATTAGATTAGATAAATAAATTATGCTTTGTATTACAGATCTCTCATTCTTCCTTCATCTCAATGACATCCCGGGTTTTATATTTTCGGACCCGGCCCGAATTCTGACTCGGGACCGATCCGGCCTCCGGGTATTTAAAATTTTTTTTTAGGGCCCGATAATTAAAATACGGTCCAACGTAGTACGAACCAAAAAAAATGGCCGTTTTTAAGAAATGAATACCTCGATCGAGGTATAAATAAGGCATGATAAAATGGACTGATAATCATCAACTTCGACGATTTGGTGGTAACTTAATCCTAACTTAAAAAGGTATGAAAACTCAATCTGAGAATAAGAAGAAGCGAGTAATGGTAAAAATTTAGCGGTAGAGGTGGTGGGGTGAACAGATGTTGGCGATTTTAAGGGTCACGGGGTTACCCGGGGGTCTAAAAAAACCACTGCTCATTTATCAATGTATATCGGGGGGGGGGTGTAAAGTCTACGAGAAGAATCGATGGAAAAAAAAGGAAAGAAATGAATGGAATAAAATAAAAAGAATTGGTTGGCACAATACTCGAATATAAAGTTTTTTTTTAAAAAAAAAAAAATCAGGCCTGGAGAATTACTATAATGTTTTTTTAACAAAATATAATTTGGCTCCGCGAAACACCCTAAAAAATTGGAAACTATATTTTTTGGACTGTGAAATCGATAAATGTTCCAACTACAACGCACTTGCACCTTTTATTATTAATAAATTTTACTTGTTAAATCTTCAAAAAAAAAATGTTAATCAATTCTTACCATCTGTTTTGTAAAAATTTATTTTATTTTAATTTTTTTCGTTCTCATTCTTGGATTCTTGGCTCAAAATAAATCCAAATATTTTTTAGCCCAATTCTTGTATAACATTAACCCATAATTTTGTCCAAAATGTTTGAAAAGTTCTCCGGTCCAAAGATCCTTGCCAGGTTTCCGCGCTGCACTGACCTCCAGACCTCGACCCGAAATTAAAAAATATATTCGACCTGATCTGATTTGAACCGAAATTATTTTTTAAAATGAAACCCGGCCCGAACCGTGATTTGCGGATCTAAACTGGCGCCATTTAAAATGAAGGAGTCAGTCGGGTAGAAATCTGGAAGGAAAAAGATAAGAATGAGAAAGAAAGATTGTAATCGTAATAATGAAACGATTTTTTAAAAAAATAAAATATACAAGATAAAAATAAAATATATTTTTACAAAAAATAATAATTTTATAGATATTTATTTCTTTAAAATTTAACCCCAAGGTCATCGATTTTGCTATTTATAAAAATACATTATTTTTGTATTCGGTAAAAATCTAATTTATAACAATAACAAAAATTTAAAATTAAATAATCTTTGCCAGAATTTTTAAGCCAATTCACTCACCAGCACCATAGCTTCCCTTTCATCCCTTTTTGGATGAGAATAAATATTCCTATATCTTATAAATCAATTATTTTAATTATATATTTTTTTTCAATTAATTCTATTCTTTTTATCGAATTTTATTGAATTTTATTCTTTTTTTATTTTTTTTATTTACAAGATGAATTATCATTTTATTTTAAACGTATTTTTGTCGGGGAATTAGATAAGATAAGACTTGGGTATTAATTTTGGATACAGATTAATTTAAATCAAGATGAATCATGTAAAAAGAAAAGTAACTTAATATTCCACAAAATATGCAAAATTTTTTTAAAAAAAAATAAATGAACTATTCTTCGATAAAAGAAGCGTAAAAAGCTAACAGATGTTCCCGAAGCTTTGAGAATTGGCAGAGTTGGCCCTTCTTTTGGCCAAATATCGAGGCTGAAGCTTGCGACTTTGACCAGATTTGTTATACTTTTGTGATTGGCTCCAGTTCAGCTTTTAAGATCATATGCGGACCCCTTAGCGATTTATTAAATAATTTTACTCCTAGGCCTTGGCTCAAGCCCAGGACCTCTGTTATGTATCTAGGAATAGTGTCTCCTTCACACATTCATAATTTAATGGAAAGGCAGATTTTGATCGGATTAAGCACAACTGCCAATTAAGTAATCCTTTTCATCCAACATCCAAGACACACCACATCTACCTACTATCCTTAATATTTAAAATTAAAAATAATTATGATAAAAGAGGTATATAATTAAATGAATTAAATTATAATTATAGGAATTGTAATAATAATAATAAGAAGAAGAGATATTTAATTTCTTTTATCATTTTATTTCACTTTTTTTCTCTTTAACCCCCAATTACGAATGAATGAATGGAACGAAAGGCTAATTGCTTCGACATTTCGCCAAAAAGATGGTCGAAACCGATCTGCTTAAATTTTGACCAAATCTCGAGTGATTTTTTAGGCGCTTTAATTTTTTTGGAACAAATTCTTCTTTTATCGAAAGCCAATCATTTTTTATATACCAAAATTTTACTTGTTTTTTGGCATATTAAGTTACTTGAACAGTTACTTGCTATAAAGATTCGTCTTGATTTAAAATTAAGATCCATTCCTATTGGTCCTTTTATATTTGAAAATAAACCCGTGAAATAGAAGTTTTTAACAAAGTATTATCGGCTTTAAAACTTTCCTTTTTTTGCCACCTTTTTTTCATGGTTATAAAATATATTTTGTTATTCTGGCTGGCCTCCCCTATTCGTGTTGTTAGCGGTGACACATATGATAAAAGTGAAATGTTATATAATAATTAAAGGATCTGACCCGTTAACCGGTATTAACCGCTAGCTTATTAACCGAACTTGAATCGTCGAAAAATTTCTCACCTAGCCGAACTGCTAAAAGGTCTGTAAATCGTTCGGTTCGGATCCCGGATAATATTATTACCTTGCAATTATAAAAATGATTTTTTTATATATAGACCCTTCTTCGAAGTGCAATTCCCTACATCGCTCTAGCACCCCTAACACGTGGTTTCCCGCGACGCCCGCCTCTCATCCGCTACCCCTTTTGAAAACGGAGCCAGATAATACGGGTTTCCTTTTGGTGGCCGACAAGATACATGACCGGGAAGTTTTCGACAAGGAAAATGGTTGCGTGATCGTCAACCAAAACCGACTCACTACTTTACCCGATGTTAAGGAATTTGGCGGTATCGAAAAATTCGGACCGGTTTCGTTGCCAATTTCGGTTTCTGAACCCAAAAAAGTTTCTATCCGGGTATCCAATCGAATACCGGTGGTTACGGCCTTTGACGAGGCCTGGGATCGCAAGAAGGGTCAGTCGGACAAGGCCAAAGCTTTCAACGTTGCCCAGAAGCAGGCCTTCAAACAATACCGGAAGCATTCCGATTCCACCTCATCTCAATCTTCTTGCCATTCCACCTCCCCGAACCGTAGTAGGGAAGATGGGGTAAAGGTTGGAGCTAACGCCGTCAATAAGGACAAAGCAAAAAACAAAAAGCTGAGAGGAGGCAAAGCCCGCCCTTCAGGAAATCAGGTTAAATTTGATTTGTTTTTTTTACGATTATTGATTTACCGGTAAGCCCAAAGAAATTGGCTGATTGATTTATATCGATATAAAATTTGGACTAATTCTATCTTATAGAAGGCCAACTAGGACCGGGTCAGACTGCCCCACATCGCGCTCACAATCTGAATAAATTTCAAAATGGTTAACAAAATAACTGGATATGATTTGGTTTATTGTGAGCCCGTTGGTCGAAAATGGTCCGGCTTTTCATTAGTCTTTTCGTAACAGGCGTTACATTCATTTATTTGATGACTGAACTAGCTCAGAGTTTCTCGGGTCAACGAAGACTGAGGTTTGAAAGCCCGTCAACTCCTTTTTTTATGAAACAAATTTTATGTTAAACGAAATAAATTGGTTTTAATATACTTTAACAACTGATCAATTTTTTTTAAAGACCTATCCTAATATAGGCATTAGGGGAGAACCAATAGAAATACCAGAATCCAAGGGAGATTCAATAGAAGGAATATTTTGGAGCAGTTGAATTGTACATGATTGGTTTTAATATTCTTTACTAACTGATCAAAATTTTTTTTTAAAGACCAATCCTAATATAGTCATCAGGGAGAACCAATAGAAATAGCAGGATCCACGGAAGATTCAGCAGAAGGAATATTTTGTAGCAGTTGAATCTCATACCATGACTATAATTTACCTAATATTTTTTTTTCTTTGTTGAAACTTTTCGAAAAACAAAATTTTTTCTACAAGGTTGTTATAAACTTTACTTTTTTTTAAAATAAAAATAAAAATATTATTTTGATAAAAAACCTTTGTTTTTCCTTCATTTAAAGCGTAAAAATTTTTTTTTGGAAATAATATTTTTTGACGTGTAAGTTTGTCATAAACATATTTGTTTAAAGGAGCCAAATAGACGGCAAACTTTGTATTACAAAAAAAGAAGAGATTAGTTATAATTTGGTTTTATGAGATTAAAATTATTCGGGGAATTGACCTAAACCTCCTTTACGTCACCTGTATAATGTTTATAAATATTGGTATTAGTCGTATTATTCATATTTCCGGTATTATTCGACCGAATAATGAATAATTGTATTATTCGAAGCGCCGAATATGAGAAAGTCAAATACCGCATTTTATACTCATTTTTAATTGTAGTTTTAAGTGGGGATGTTGGAAGGGGTAAAGTGGACAAGTCGTATATTAAAAACTTAAAAATTTTACTTAGGCCTTGTCACTTGTTTTGTGTGAACAAATTAATTTTTTTCTATGCTTTTCCTTAAAAAAAATATTAATTTTTTTTTGACAAAATATTTTAATTAATCGCGACAAATCAATCGGAAATCAATGGACCCACTCTATTATTTACTTCAATTTCTTTTCTATTTATTACAGAGACCTGCAGGCCCGGACCTAAGCTTAATTTTTTTAAATTTACCCAGGCCGGGCTTTTCCTGATCCGGGCCTAAATTTTTTAAAAAAAACCCGGACCGGGCCGGAAAAAATTTCCGAAAAAAATCCGGGCCGGGCCGGAAAAAATTTCCGAAAAAAATCTGGACCGGGCCGGAAAAAATTTCCGAAAAAAATCCGGACCCGGCCGGAAAAAATTTCCGAAAAAATCCGGGCCGTGCCGTGCAAACGGTACTTCTGCAGGTTTCTAATTTATTAGTTTATTAATTCAATTTGAAAATTACAAAATATTTTTAATAAATGACGATATCAATCGACAATTCAAGTCAATTATTTAGTTCAATTTCTTTTCTATTTATATAGATAGTTTATTAGTTCAAATTGAAAATTACAAAATATTTAATTTGTTTGTATAAAAGAATTTTTTTTTAACAAATAAATATTTGTCATTTCAAAATCTTCTTTTTTTTTTCTGCAGCTCTCTTAATTTAAACTTAATTATACTTTGGAACAAATATTAAAAATCCAAAGATGTAATTTAGTTTCTGGGTTCTTAGGGCATTATATAGTAGGAATATCTGATAAGTCTATTTTTAGACCCGGTTAAGAATTTTTAAAATTTGGCCGGGTTTTGGAAATCGTTTCAAAAATATGAGGAAAGAATATTTAAAGAGATTTATTATAATAATTTTTCTTGTTAAATATTTTTTTGGACCAGGCCCGTATTTTTAAAGCTAACATTTATGTCCGTTTTGGGTTAGGGTCGGAAACATTTAACTTTACTTTTTTTTTGTTTGACCCTTGAAAATCTAACCGCTTTCACACTTTTTTCACAGCTGACTAGTTATTTTTATAACTCCAAAAATTATTCGACGTAAATTAATATATATATCTAAATTAAAAAAGGGGAATAAAGTAGTTAAAATCAATTTTTAATATATAAAAATATGAACAACAAGGTATTAGAAAATTCTGATTGGTCTCTTTTCTCTATTCTTTTCTAATTGGGCCTTTTTTCCTTTCTAGCTGCCAACATCCACATTTTCGTGGCCTCATAGAACTCGCACTTGGTCGGCATTGAATAAAGGTCGTACAATTTAGGAGGGCATAGTACTGGAAATTGGTTTCTATGATTTATCTTCCGCAAACTTTGGGTGAACAATTCGGCATATCATATGTCATGTCCTTTAAAGTTTTTTATTCACAGCCAAATAAATTTAGCAATTTCAGATCACTAAAAAGATCTCTTTAGAAATATAACATTCGATAGATTTACAGTTACATATACGTATACATATTAAGTAACGTGCTAAAATATGACAAAAATAACTGGTTGACCTAACCCGAAAGAGAGTGACATCAATCGCCCTACTAAACAATGGGATGAATGAATTTTGTATGAACACATATTTTAAACTAAAACTCTTCATAATAATATAACATGTCAATGTCGAATTTTGATATTTTGTCACCAATCCTCAATATTTATCGCGAAATGTAACAATTAAAAAAAAAATGATATGTCATCTGGGGGAGAACCAAATTTTTTAGAAATGTTATTTTTATATTAGGTATAATCCCTTCCTTCTATCTAGACAAATTGAATTTATTCTTTTTCGAGGCTTTAGGTCATAATTGAGCGAATGAATAACTCGAATCGCGTCATATGATTTCCTGAAAATTAAAAAATTTGAACAGATTTTTTTGATCGTTAATATATTAGAGTTCGGCAGAGTTTGCAAAAATATCGGGATACATTTTCGGAATATAATATAGTATCTACCATTTTATAGAAGTATCTTTGAGCTACCCGTTCGAACTGTCATAGTTGGACTACGCAAAAATTCCCTCTGATCGACTCACTCCGGCCATCTTTGAATTTTTTATTCAGCCGTACCTCGACAAAATTCTAAATTATTTCATTTTACCACTATGATTCTCCCTGAAAAATCGTAATTATTAAAAAAAGAAGTTTTGATTGAACTCTATGTTAGCGAGATCGGAATGAAACTTAATCTTTTCTAAAATCTTTGTCCAGCCTGAAAAAAAAATCATATTTTCGGTACAGGAAATATACGTACAGTAAAATTTTTATTGACGCTACGTATATTAATTATAGAATATAATCATCACTGACCATCTCTCAAAACCAAACTCACTCGAGAAATTTTATTTGTATCTTTATCAATGTTTTCTATGTACATATTTTGTTTTTGTGGTACACATGTGTTTGTCACCTATTCAATTCAATATTCATTTGATACATTTACGCCTATTCTGCCAGATGTCTAATTTACGTATACAATAAAATTTAAATACATAAAAATATGTGGATATAAATTGTATTATTTTTTTTTCAAAGGTCTGCTGCTTCATTGGATCTTTATTTTATAAAATTAAAATATTATAAAAAAATAAAAATTAGGCACATTTCAATTCGATATGTTATATATAAAATTAATAGCAGATAGGACATTTAATATGCTTTAAAAATGTTTTATGTTAGTTACATATCATCTTTTATTAATTATAAAAATTTGAATTCATATTTTTTAAGGTTTTATAATCAAATATACGATTAAGCTAAAAAATGGCCCCCATTTATATTAATTTAAAAAAATTATATAAACGAACTTTTTTTAATATGATTGGTTGAGATTCGCCCAAGATATTGAGATTCCCGAAATTTTATTTACTATAAAACAGCTAATTCGTAAATTAATTTAAAATAATAGTACCGATTAGTTTAAAAAAAATTATGTAATGACATTTGGAGTGGCATGCCATTTCTTTTCTCCTGGGGGGGGGGGTCTGCTAGCCAGTTATATTTTTCTAAATATTCTATATTAAGTAATTAGATAAGGTAGCTCAAAACGGTATAATTTAATGTATCTTTTAATTACTAAAATTAATTGGAAGGTATTAGCATCCATCCATTAACCTATTCTGTATATTGTCTGTTATTAAAGCAGCGATTACTTGATTTTCGTTGATACCTAGTGGCTGCTTCTGTTTTCCTTTAGCTTATAGGGGATTGTTTCGTATGTTCTCCTTTAGATATCGTTGCTCGAGAAATAGATTGTCATCTCCAATTTTTGTAATTTTTTCGGGTTACAAAACTAATTTTAAAAACATATGCAAATGTTTTAAAATTAAATCTGCCAACCACTCTATTTTATAAATATTTCGGAAATTGATTCATGTCAAAAAAAAGTCATTTTTGACATTTTTCCTTTTTTTTTAAAGAACTTGTTAAAATAGTGTAATTGTTGATTCGTTTTTGAATTAAAAATGTACTATTTATTACATTAATTTAATACTACCATTTTATTTATGAAATATGTTGTGTTTGATTCATATTAATAATATGCTAAAATATCACTACCCCCCCCCCCCCCCCCCCACACTTTTTTTGGAAATTTCTGGCGGGGGAACGCTAAGCCTCCCACTACATCCCCGCGTTATAATTGTGCATTACTATAATCATTATTATTTAAATAACAAGTTTGCTTCCTCGTATTTCCTTACAGCGAGATAACTATTTTTACTTTTTTCATCCCAGATTTTCCAACTAAATAATTTTACGATTTTCAAATGGTTTGCCCTTGTTTCCCTGTCTCTAATTTATTATCTAGCACGTTTTTACTTCCTTACAATGATTGCCACTTTGTTACGCATAATTTCACTTTTTAATTTAATTAAATTATTATGTTATGCGAGAAAAGAAAGAAAAGAAAAATGAAAGAAAGGAATTAATAATAATACAAATATAATGTATATTTTACTCGTTTTTGGTAATGAAGGAAGTTTCTATCTTTGAATTAAATTTAATCTCAAAATTATTCCATCATTTACAATTTATTGATTTTTTTTTTATACTTAAAATTTTTGGTCGATTCGGTTATTGAACTAATTTTTCTTTTTTTTATGCATTTAGGAATCGTTCATCCCTAGCTCTCCTCGTCACCATCCCCACGTTTCCCCTAGAACGTCGGCTCGTTCTATTCCTACCGATCACCTCGCCCAAGCACCACTTAACCCCGGTCTAGCCAAAGCTTCGTTGGACTCGGTCCCGGGGAATCGCCGCCAAAGAAATAAGCGATCCGCCAAGACCGGCCGTAACCCCTTCAACGGGAAACTGTTCAGACTTTTCGAGACCGAAGAGATTTTTCAGAAAGATTCCAACACCAACGCCGGCGATAATATAAGCTGGAATACGCTTCCCTTCGCACCCTGTAAGCGATTTTTTATGACTCGTTTCAAAATGAAATATTTATCACGTGACCATTTATTTTTGGGGGCTTCGGAAATTGTATAAATTTATAAAATCTCTATATTATATTTACAGCTGGTTTCGAAAATGGGAAAAGTACGAAGGGGAAGAAGCGAGGCGGGGGCCGCTTCTTTTACGCTCAGGGCTGTTTTGGTAAGCGAAGCGGAATAATCAGGCAACCTTTGCCAAAGACTTACGCGAAATGTTGATGACCCCCCTGAACGAGAATATCGACTTTTTCATTCATTCATTCCTAGCTCCTCATTATTTCACATTTTTACCTAATTTGGCATCTGTCAATCCTCATTTATATATGTCTGTAATCTTATATTTCTTTACTTTTTTTCCTTAATCTTTGAAGTAAGTGTCAATTATTTTTTCCAAATCTTAAGAATCTTGTATTTCCTTAACTTAAAACATAATTTATATTTATTTATGTTCTTCTCACAATATCTCATGTCCATATTTTTATATGAACGGGGTAAATATTAACCTTTTTTTTAAAAAACTAATTTGTCATTTTTAAAAATTTGATAATTTTTTTTTCCCTGACGATTATTTTATAGATCACATTTTAAAATGAGAATTAATAGATATTTAAAAAAAAAATGTTTTTGCTCTTAAAATTTAAAAAAAATAAATAACGAAAAATAAAATAAAATAAAAATATTTACAAAAAAAATATTAAAATATAAAATGAAACGAAAATAAAAAAAAAAGAAATTAAAAATGTTTGTTCAAATTTACTCGGTTTAGCTAGTGAACAAAAAAAAATATATAAAAAAAACCTAAACTAAAATATTTTTTTTCTTACAAATTGGGGACTCAATTATAATTAAAGATTTTAATTCTTTGAATTTTTATTCTTTGTTCTATTCATTTATTTTTAGGATTTTATTTATTTAAAAAGAGATTATATTTATTTTAGATGTAATTTTTTTTTCTCTTTTTTTATACATGATATTAATTATTATATTTATAAATATGAACGCATAAATTCTGTAAATTAGAGTAATATATATAATGAGAATATTTTAATTTTCCCCAAATAAACCCCATTCCTCGCACTCCCGATTTTGGCATAATTCATCCCTATAAAAATCCTTCATTTTATTAAAATATTTTTTATCGATTGATCGAATTTATTAACCAAATTGTCGTTTTCAAGATTATTTTTTTTTCAACGAGCAAAATCAATAAAAGGTTTTTTAATAATTTTCCTTCTCCTCTCTTCCCATGCAAACCCGTTCCCCAAAGATATTTTAAAATTGATATTTTTAAGATTTTATTAAGTTATAAATATTTCATTTTAATTTCGGGGTTTTATAAAGAGATTATCTAATTTATAAGAAATTAATAATAAAATGACGAAACAAACGCAAAAAAGTATAGAATAAATTGAATGAATTATTTTCAAAAGTTGAATCCTGGCTTTTTTTTATTGATTTTAAAAGTCAATAATTATATAAAAATTTGTAAAATATAATTCGATTTGATATAATTATTGCCAAAAAAATTATTAAAAACATTCATATTTCTATAACATACAAGAAGTCCTTCTTGTTTCAAGTGGTAATATAAGTTATGCATAACTTGAAATATTGTAGTGTAGATAATAAAAAAAAGGTATATTTTAATATTTACATTTGACATCTACATAATTTATGTAAGTATCTTATATAGTAATATTAATATGTAAATGTAAAACTACTTCAAAAAATTTTTAAAAGGTTAAATTACATAAATTTTTTTTTTCTTATACTTAAAAATTTTTATGATGTAATTTAATTATTATAAATAATAATATATTTTTCTTTTAATTAATTAATTCATATTACTGTTAACAATCAATTTTTTTAAATTAAAAGAAGATTAATTTGAATTTTTAGCTTATTCAATTATATTTAATATAATAATAATTATAATAAGTTTTTTTTCTAACATTTAAGAAATAATACTTACGATAGAATAAGAAAGATAAGATGTAGTAATAGGATTACAATAGGGAAAAAATAAATAAATATGTAACATCATACATAGTATTATGAATAATTATAATAGAGTACTTTCTTTTTTAACTAGTGGATTGAAACATTATTAATTTCGAAGGACGTTATTTTTACCATTAATTCAATACACTCCAAGGTTTTTTTTTGTAGGGAGATTTAATTTATCCTATAAAGATATACTTATATTTAATATAAAATGTGTATTCAATTTGAAAGGTTATTACGGAATTTTTATTGGTCATTAAATATAGTGATTTTTTAATACCTTTTACTTAAAGGTCCGGTTAAAAAATAGATAGAAAAGTTATATTTTATTGTGGTTTATAAAAGGAAAATGTCTATTATTTTCGTTTTATATTGACAAAAGTTACTTTTTTAAGAAAACTGCTTGAAATAAACTCTAAAGATACATTTTTTTTTTATTATTAGAAATTTTTTTAAAGAGAATAAGATTTCATAGGAACTGAATTCCTATCAAAACTCCAACTACGAAGCCTATTGTTACGACGATATTTTCTTCCAAGAAATTCTTCACGTGCTTGCTATAGTCGAGAATCTAAATATATTATATATAATTTAAAAAATTTATAATAATGTGTTGTTAAACGGCTAACTCAATATTTTATCAGGAAAAATATTATGCAAGCCCTCAACTCACAGGTGGCACAAAGGGTTTGAAACAGCTGTTAAAGAAATCTCTCGAGGCTTAGACAATATATTTTTTTCTGGCTAAATTATTGAGTTGACCGTTTTTAAATATCGGCGCAATTCGAGCCGTTAAACAACACTGAAGTATTATTGTATATTAAATCAATTATTTGAAATCTCAAAATAATTGGTTTATTTTTTTGAAAGAGAGAAAGGTAGAAAAAAATAAGTTAAAGATTTTAGGTATTAAATTTAGTATTAAATAAATAGATACTACTATAATCATGCGATAATAGTAGTAATACCCAGCTAGCACACCAAACCAATTTTTCTTTTAGTTTTTTTTTAATAGCTAGCAGAATGGTAGCCCCACTAGACAACTTCCTAAATATTGAAAAGCAAAAAAAAAACCACATGGCAACAAACAAAGATGTAAAATCAAATGTATCTCTTTATTCTTTGCTGGAGATTGAAAAATTAAACTAATTCATCTTTGCTTAAAAAAAATTCAAAATTAATTTAGCGAAACTGTAAGTTAGTATCGAGATTAGTGGCTGCCTTAATTTTAGACAGAAAAATATTGCCTAAGCTTCTAGATTTCGATAATATATGTCTAAACCATTGTTCCTTCTACGACAAAATCTTCAGGTTAGCCTAATATTTTTCTGAGCGATTATATTGAGTCGTTCAACAACACTAATTGAGATATAAAGAAATGTCAGATAATACGAATAATTAATGCGTCAGTTCAAGAATTCTCGAATTATTCTGACGAACTTACAAAGCAAGGATGAATGCCAACCAATTAAATTTTATGGGACCAAAAAACGAAGGTAAGATTAGTCTCCAAATTTATAATTGCGAATAGTGTTGTTAAACGGGTCGGGTCACTTAAGCCCATTTTTAAAATATTTTATCCAGAAAGAAAAATATTGTCTCAGCCTCGAGATGGCGTTAATAGATGCTCAAACCTTTGTGCCATCTCTGAGCGAAATCTTAAGGGCTTGCATTATATTTTTCCTAATAAAATATTGAGTTCGCCATTTTTAAAAAAATTGGCTCAAAATGACCCCTCCCTTCATCAACACTAGCTGTAAACTTAACTTCTGTATAATTTCATTTTTTTTTTCAAATAAAAAGTGGTCATTTTATGCTACGTAACTTTTATTCCAGAATGTTTTTTTGTTAAAACATTGTATCAAAAACAAAAAAGCCAAAATTTACCAGGAATATACTATTTAGATGTTTATAACAGATATTCATATTATTAGAATACTCGGAAAATTGTATAGCAATTTGCAGAAATTTGCTATAGGACATGTTAAACGGCTGACTCTATTATCCAGCAAAAAATTACTCAAGACTGAATATTTTGCTAATAAATTGTACAGATATCTAGACATCTATCAAAAAAATCTCTAGCCTTTTTTGACTAAAATATTGAGCCAGCCTTGTTTAAAAATAAGCTCAAAAACATTTATTGTTCCTTGAAGTTAGGGCCACATTTAAGAATGGGGCTACTCTTATTGAAATAAAAAGAATCAATTAGGCTAAAAGTCAATCAGGGTATGAGTTAGTATTATTATTAAAAATATCACTGTTAACTACCTACATACATTAAGGGTTAGAAGTACCTCAGTGTTTGTTATTGAAATAAATAAATTCTAAATCTCTTTCTATTTTATCTTTTTGATTATACAGACGTTTTTGGAATCTCTAATATGATATTAACCCTAGTGCACATCAGAGACCTTCATAGGCCGGACCTAGGGTTTCGAAAATGCTTATTTAAAACAGTCGCTAAAGTATTGCAATTTTCTTCTTCTAATAATAATGTTGTGATCATTAGGAAAATTTTGTAGCAAGGTTTTTACACAATCGGATGCTCTGCCTGACATCAACTCATTTAAGTGGTTTTTATACTAAGTCGAGAAGACGGTTATCCTATTCTAGACCCAGATCACAGGGAACCTCTTAGATCCATAAGCCGCCAAAAAACGTTGCCACTCCCCCGCCACGATGAGACCGAAGGTAGAATAATATATTTTACTATTGTAAACAAAATGATTGCCTTAAATACAATACTAAATATAAACAATAAATTAAAAAATTTCGATAAGGGATTGGGGGAGGAAAATATTATTACATATGGGCTCGGGCCGGACTTGTGGTTTTTAATAAATATGGGCCGAGCCTGAGCTAAATTTTGTTGTTGCGGGCCTGGGCCAGGTTAGATCAGCAAATTATAACCCATGCATGAAGGAGAAGAAAGAAAGAAAGAAAGAAAGAAAGAAAGAAAGAAAGAAAGAAAGAAAGAAAGAAAGAAAGAAAGAAAGAAAGAAAGAAAGAAAGAAAGAAAGAAAGAAAGAAAGAAAGAAAAGGAAAGAAAGAAAGAAAGAAAGAAAGAAAGGAAAGAAAGAAAGAAAGAAAGAAAGAAAGAAAGAAAGAAAGAAAGAAAGAAAGAAAGGAAGGAAAGAAAGAAAGAAAGAAAGAAAGAAAGAAAGAAAGAAAGAAAGAAAGAAAGAAAGAAAGAAAGAAAGAAAGAAAGAAAGAAAGAAAGAAAGAAAGAAAGAAAGAAAGAAAGAAAGAAAGGAAAGGAAAGAAAGAAAGAAAGAAAGAAAGAAAGAAAGAAAGAAAGAAAGAAAGAAAGAAAGGAAAGGAAGGAAAGAAAGAAAGAAAGAAAGAAAGAAAGAAAGAAAGAAAGAAAGAAAGAAAGAAAGAAAGAAAGAAAGAAAGAAAGAAAGAAAGAAAGAAAGAAAGAAAGAAAGAAAGAAAGAAAGAAAGAAAGAAAGAAAGAAAGAAAGAAAGAAAGAAAGAAAGAAAGAAAGAAAGAAAGAAAGAAAGAAAGAAAGAAAGAAAGAAAGAAAGAAAGAAAGAAAGAAAGAAAGAAAGAAAGAAAGAAAGAAAGAAAGGAAAGAAAGAAAGAAAGAAAGAAAGAAAGAAAGAGAGAAAGAAAGAAAAGAAAGAAAGAAAAGAAAGAAAGAAAGGCTTCGGTAAAATATTTTTTTATACAATTGAAAATGATGGATTTTAGATAATAAAGATCGTGATTATTCCAAAGATAAAGCAATCCAGCAATTTAGCTACGCTATTTAATTCTATATATTTTTAAAAGTATAAGCTTTTACAAAAGGAGAGATCTAAAGAAAACTAACAAGAATGGTTGGGTAGGATCCACTTAAATAACTAAATATTACTGAGAGATAGAAAGATGTAGAATCCTATTTGGAGGGGGGAGGGACACAAATTTAGGCATAATTGCTTCCCTAACATTTATCTGTCACGAAGACGGCGGCGGAAGTTGCGAATGAATACGGAAAAAGGAAGAATTATCAATAAATTAATAAGATTTATGCATTAAAATTTTTTTTAACTCACGCTATTCGTAACGTCGTTACGTTGGGCGGCCTCCTTGATTTTTTGGTATTTAGCCATCAATTTTTCCTTCTTCAGACCGCAGTTGATGAGGATAAGGCAAATTACTATGAGACCGAAGAGGACGAGGGATTTGGCCATTCTCAACAGGATGGAAGAGAACAACCCCAGCAATGCCGATATGAGCAATTGGATCTTGATGTCGTATTTCAGAAAGGTGTCTTTCGCGTTTTCCGCCCTGGTCTCGATCTGTAACAAAAATTAGAATTGCGTTTCATATTCTAAATAACGACGAAATCCAATAATGTTAAACACAAATTATTTTTCTGATTAAGAGTCCTTTCGAAAAGAAGAAAAATTCAAAATTTTTGTCTACGAATCCTAAAATAAAATGATGGATCTTGAAATACAGCTGATTTTTAAATATGGATTTTAAAAAAAATGCTCTGGTACTGAAATACTGAAAGGTGGTACTAAATTCTGGCGCCCAACCTTTTTAACAGGTGATTAGGGTTCCAGTTAAATGTCAATTGTAAAGAAATAAATAGAATTCTAGATATTTAAGCAAGTAATAAAACCCATTAAAATTAGTTGCTACTTTTATTCGACAACTCCGTCGTCCGATTCTTGTTCATTTAAAAAAATGAGGTTCGGATTTTAGGAAATTTTAAGCGAATAGTTGCTGAACTCTCGTTCCTGGGTTAAGTTTCAAAATTCCGATAAAGGCGAGCGATAATTGGTTAAGAGATACATTTTCAATTTTAAGAGATTTTTTTTGAAAATCATTTCTCGCTAAAATCTTTCAGCCCAGCTTATGCGCCACTCCAAGGACGAGATACTGAAATGACCCCTCCTCTTAGCAAATTATATATACATACTCCTAATTAAATCAATACCCCTAACCCTCTTCGCCACTCTTCTCGATAATATCCATAGAATATCATATACAATGATTTAATAAGTTTCAGTCAAAAGTTTCTATAAAAAAACATGTAGCACGACCAAAGGGTCTGCATAAAGAGGACACAAAGCTCGGGATCATAACTCACAGCATTACTATGTCCGTTAGAGTTCCATACTAACTTAGTTAGATTCTTGGCGCTTAATAACTCTACATAATTTATATTAGATTTATAAAGTAAAGATTATATTGAATCATTTAAATATTATTTAATAAACATGTAGCCCGACCAAAGGGTCTGCATAAAAAGGGCCTAAAACTCTTTAATAGTATCATCTCTACATGGCATAATAATATCTCTTCTACATGGCATTAAGCTCTACAAATACCTATCTCTAAGCCTAAAGCTCTTCAATACTATCTCTACATAGCCTAAAAATCTTCAATACCTAGCTCTACATAGCCTAACTCTAACACTATCTCTACATACTAAAGCTATCCAATACTAATCTCTCTACATTATACATTAGATTTATAAAATAAAGATTATAATTCAATATATATAAATATTATTTTTTTTTTTACCTCCTTTTTAGAAACCATTATTTTTTAAAAATATGACAACTTAGTATAATTTAGTATCTAGAATTCGAGTCACGAATGATTTAGATTTTTTTTTTTATTAATTAAAACACAATTCGCAAATAAAAATATTAATATATATTATTTTAAAATTAAAATTTGATATTTCCAAATTATTCTAATAGAAGTGAAAAGGTAAATTTATTGATTTTTTATTGTTTAAAAAAAATCAATATTATTTGATATGACAATTAAAATTCTATTTTCAAAAAAAAATAATTAAGAATTAATTTTTTAAAAAAAATGGTTTGCAATTTTTGTACCCTTGAATCATCAGGCAAGGCATTCCGCGCGTTATTATAACAGCTGATTTGTAAAAATTTCTATTTCTTTTCCCTCTACTAAGGCGAACATATACATAGCCTTGTAAGTTGACATGTGCAAACGAGTGTTAAAAAAAATATATTAAATATAAATGTCCACTGTAAAAGTAAATTTTTAAACTATTTTAAAAATTTGTATTAATTGGTTCAAGAATTTGGTTGGATCTTTAAATAATTGTTGAAGGGAAGCAGAAGGAGAAGGAGAAGGAGAAGGGTTGAAGATGAGTTGGCATTAAAGGAATATAAAAATATGTTTCTGGAAAGAAAAGGAGCTATTTTATATTCTTAGGGACAATTTATAGCATGTATCTTGAATCTAGAAAAAATAATTCCCGGGAAAAATATCAGTTTTTTAGATCCTTAAAAAAACAATATATAAAGAAAGAAAGAAAGAAAGAAAGAAAGAAATTTCCAAAATAAAATTCCCCAAATAAATATTTAAAAATTTTGAAAAAAATTAACAAAATAAAAAAGAAAATTCCTGTAAAATATATACCTAAAAAATACTGTTGTGTAAAACTGGTCGATATCAGCCCATTTTTTAAAACGGCTGACTCACCATTATAGCCAGGAAAATGCTGACCTAAGCGTCGGATGCGCCATCTATGAACAAAATCTTTATTCGGCTTTCATAACATTTTTCTGGATAAAATATCTAGTTCGCCGTTTTTAAAATAACAGATTTTCCCGAATAAAATTTTTAATCTCAAAATTATAAAGAACAAATAAGTAGTTAATTTTATAAATAAAAATGTGTCGCGTTATGGTTTTATCCCCAACCTAATTTTGGTAAAATTTAAGCAAAAAAGGTTTTTATAAAATAAATTAATGCTTAACTATATTTACCTAAATTAACTACTAGATATTTCTGTGTTATTAAGCAAAACATCATGATCCATCAAGTTAATAGATTTTTCACTTTATAATTTTTAAGAGAGCCCGGAATTTTCAAAAATCATACAATTTTTGAGGTCTGGCCGTCAATGCTCGGTTTTATATAAATCTATATCTCAAATTTGTTCTTTTAAATTCACCCCCCTTTAAGTTTCGACGTTTCGAGTGATTACTTGAAACATTTTTCCCAACTTTTAGATATTGATGATCGCTTTATTTTCGTGGTAGCCTTTACACTCCGTCTTGATTTGGTGTCACATTTTCTTTCCGAAATGTCAAAATCTGTCATGATATCGCTGCTATAAAACTACGGAGTATCAAAAACTACTTACAACAGGTTTATCCAGTATGTATCATATTTTAAAATCTATTTGATCGCTTATATTTAAAACATCAAACACTCCTTAAACGTTGAGAATACTCAAAGCTCAGATAAAAAACTGAGTATCCGGAATTATTTCTTAATGCTTTGATATAAAACGGAATTGGCCAGAAATTCGATATTCATTTTAAAGGATTTGTAAGATGAAAACATTTTTTTTTCGACTGATTTTTGAGAAAATAGTCATAAACAATTATCGCGGTATTTATTTCTCGCCGTATTCCCCAACATTGAATTCGCATTAATAAATTGGCTATATTTCGAAAAAATAGTTGTTTCAGCCAAAGAATTCATGAAAAATATGGTAATTCACTCACAATCTTCTGAATTCTTAATTAGCACTGGAGCCGCTGTATCAACTAGTAATCGGGGGGAATACAATTATATCACCATCCTCGATTCGTCTTTTTTAGGGAAATTCCATAGAGATTCCAAGAAAAATAGAATTATTTATTGAATTAACCAATACAATCAAACCTCAAGTTTTCCATATATCACGAACAGGTAAAAATATTTTTAGGACGCGATATTATAGTATAAAATCCAGTACTACTAAAACAATGCATTGACGAGACAAATGAAAGAGTGTAATTGTTTCAAAGAGTTCTCAGAATTATTCTAAAAGACTCTAGGAGAAAGAATGTAGATTATGAAAGATTCTCTCAATAACGTGAGGGGAAAGTATGTTATTAAAGTAGATTCGAAAAAGTATATTCATGATCTAAAAAATAAATATTATCAGAATATCTATTTAAGGGCAATATTTCTTATAATTGTTATATGTAAATACTATTCTGTTAGTGTTATAATTTTATCAGAACGTTAGAATAGATTATATTTGAATCGCGTTTTCTTCATCTAAGTTTATATATGTACATACGCATAATAATTTTAATTTTGTTCGAGTGAACAAATTTTGTACATATGAAAGCAGATCAAATTTAAAATAAAAACCAGCATTTCAATTCTAAGTGTGTCTGAGTTAATTTCAATTATGGAATTCAATTTATAGTTCGATTGGGAATACAAAAACAATTCACATGTGCAATGGCGTAGACAAGAGGGGGGTGGGGGGGGGGGTGGGGTTAAAATTCCCACCATAACCTCCGAAATTTTTTTTTATTTGTTTAGAATTTTCTTTTAATCACTTATATTTTATTTGTAATTATATATTTTTTTTTAAATACAGCATATTTTTTTAATATATGTATATTTACGCTTAGAGATTAATTATATTGGGAATAATTTCATTTAAAAAACGGTTTCAATTTAGAAATAAAATAAATATATATACCACATCAAAATGAAATATATTTTTAAAAAAACAAATAAAAATTTTCAATTTTAAATGATCACATCGTTTAAAAATATATATTAAAAAATTATATGAACTAAAATATTTACCATCTCAATTCTTGGGAGATATCGGATGCTTTAGAAGCCATCTCTTATGAATCAAAAGATATAAGTATCTAATGCATTGAATAAAAAAAGAATTTGATATTGACACGACTAACAGAGCATGAATAATTATAATAAATGATGCAATCATTTGGTTAGGGACGCAGGGCTTAGCATTAAGAGCACTTAGAATATCTTCTGACCCCTTAACACTTACATACTCTTCTCATAATGAAGGGAATTTCAAGGAATTGTTGAAACATTTATGCAATATAATGTCTGCTAAAAATGCCACCTACCTTATTTTAAGTATTCAAAATTATTGAAAGAAATTTCTACAAAAGTGTAAGCATCACCATATTTTTAGGGCTTTGGCGGATGAGACTTCGGATGTTGATAACATAGAGCAATTATCCATAGCAGTTAGGTTTATTGCCATGGAATCAGGTGATTTCAAAATGAAGGAACTCTTTCTTATATTTATTGACTTACATGACACTAAATCTAAGATGATAGCCAGAGAAATTTCAGCAACCCTTCAAGATCTAGATTTAAATTTAAATCTAACGAGAGGCCAAGGATATGATGGAGCTCCCCGATGAGTGGTCACGTTAAAGGGGCGCAGTCAAGAATTAGACAGCTTTATAGCACAGCGTTCACTGTAGTTCACATTGCCTAAATTTAATGATATATGAGGCATGCGAAATTCGAGACATCCGGCACAGTTTTAGTAAAAATATTTTAACTTTATATAATAATTTAGAAACAATATCGTCGGTTTGTGACTTTCTCACACCACCCAAGAAGAGGCAGCTTTTTATAAAGATTTTGTCCAACGATTTATTGAAAGACAACAAACACAGTGAGACTTTTCATCGAATTATATGATGTTATCCTCAAAGAAAAAGATTCTGCAGATGCTGAAGATCTTTTGCAAGCTATTACGAAGCCACAATTTTAAATATAATTCAATGTGTATATTTTTTATTTAAATATACATATGATTTTAGCTAAATGCTACTAAAAAATTGATTTGGATTTAAGTGAGGTTATGAATAGGGCCAAGGATATTGTTGAAATATTAACAAATATTAGAGACAATGTGCATGAAAATTTCATGAAATATACGAGAATGTAAAGGAGATCGCTAATATGTTTGGGAAATTTTAAGCCTAGAGTAGATTGTAGACAGTCCAATTGCTTATATATTGATGCATCTACGCTGGATGATTTTTACAAAATAAATATTTTTATTCCCCTTTTTGTTTCATTTTTATTTCAATTAAAGGAAAGATTTATTAGTCATTTTATTTTAAAAAGCTTTTATTGTCTTCTGCTAGTTGAGTCTGAATTGTTGATTACACTTAAAATGCGAGAGGATATTAAATCTCAGAGTTTTATTCTAATGATTTATCAGGATCGTAAGATAAGTTACTTTGTGATGTCGAATTTTGGTATAAAGATCTTGATAGAATAGAATACTCTTTGAGACCCAAAAATACTTTGCAGGCCCATTCCATGTATAATTCCACTTTAGTACAATAAACTTTTAATATAATAATCTGTGTAAAATTTCTGCATTTTTGATATTTATTTTATTGTTTATTTTCATTAAAATGAATAGTTAATTAAAGGAATGTTATTTATTATACTAAAGTATTTTAATAATAAATAAAATCTATAATGAAATTCTTTAAAATTTAATTAAATAATTATTTATAACACTAAATTCAATAAGATATATTGAGTGATCATAAAAAATGAAAGGTTTGGGGGGGGGGCAATCTTTTTTTCTTTCTACACTCTATGGATTAAAAATGACTAAACATTGATAAAACTCAAAATGCATCCAGCCACTTATTAATCATAAATTTGGCCAAAATTCTTTTACTAATATTTTTTTCATTTATGCTGGTACTATATTGATTAGACACTAACTAATAAAGCACATAATATTTCCAAAATTTAAAAATAGGGTTTGGGGCGAAGCCCCCAAAAATTTTTTAACCCCCTTCTCCCCATGGATAAATACAGGCTAGGCCACTGCACATGTGGTAATTTATTTCGAAGAAGGTAGAGATGTAATTGAAAGAACGACGTTACTTTTTTTGAGTAACGGTAACGCAAAACGTTACTCGTTACTTTATATTTTTTTCTTAAAAAATATCAAGAAAAAGAAAAACATATTTTATTGTATAATAACATTACTTTTATTTATTTTTATATTATTAATATAAATAATTTAATCCGAGTTATAATTCATATCAACCACTGCCTTCATTTTTATTTTAAATTCTCGTTGTAAAATTTTCTGTCGAAATTAATTTTCAATCAAAATTCAAAGTAAATGTTAATAACGATATTATTATTCTATAATTTATTTTAAGAATATTATGTCCATAGTACTTACTTCTTCAGATGAAGATGATTTAACCCTTCCCTGGCCCCAATTTGAAATATATTTTAAACCAGTAAAGAAAATTAATGGTACTAAGCCCTACACTTTGGAAATGTAAATTACATCCAAACACAAATATTTGAACCTCAATGTCTAGCAGTTCAAACTTAAAAAAGCATTTGGGTAAAAAGATAAATTAACATATCATTATCTTAAATATTACTTTTAATAGAATAATAATTTTGAAAAGCTTAATCATGGAATTTATAAGTAGGGATGTGTCGATATTAAATATCGGATCGGCACCGATATTTAGAATTTTCCAAAATCATCGGATCAGGACGATACTTGTAAAAAAACAGATCCGATCTTTTTATTGTAGTTTTTTGTTTTTATGTTATGTATATTTATTTTACATTATCATAATATTTTCCAAATAATTTTTTTTTAAATAATGCAAATGCACAACATCCTTTAAATTTTATTCTTTTTTAAAATAGATTTATAATATTTTAAAAGTTTTTTTTATTAAAATAGAAAGGAACACCCAAAGTTTTAATTATTTTAAATCTTTTTAAATAATAACGCCAATTTTATTAATTATACTTTAAATAAAAGAATTATGGTATCTGAATTGTGGAAATATTTTACAAAAGACAAAGATTATTTTGCAAAATGCGTTATCTGCAGAATCATCTGAGTTTACCTTCAGTAAGGCAGGGGATATAGATACTCCATATCGTAGAAGTTTATTAAATCTAATATTTTTTAATTTTATATATTAAATACAATTTTATAATTCATATCAACCTAAAATGGATATATTATCAAATATGTATATGTTTTTTAAATTATAGTTTTAATTGTAGAAATAAAAAAGAATTAAATTAAATTCATAATTTGATTTTTTGCATAAAAAATATTGATTTCAATTACATTTGTTCAAAGGGGGTGGTAAAAAATCAATATAAATATCGGATCGGTTTTGAAGCAATATCGGATCGGTGAAATATGTGGATCGGCACAGCTCTAAATATAAGCAATTAAATTATACTACGGTATTGGCCTGGAAACCAACATTTAAATCCCAAGATTAACAAAATATTGGTTTTGGTTCAAAGTATTATATTGAGTTTTTATATCTTCTGTTTCTTGTTTTAGTATTGCTATTGGTTTGACTATAATTGGTAATAAATTAAAAGAATAAAAAATAGTGATTTTAAAAAACTTTGTTTAAATAATATTATATATAAGAAATAGTGGCGTAGCCAGGATTTATTCAATAACAAAATTTTATAGAGAATTTCATTATAAATTTTATTTATTATTCAAATACTATGTATAACATCCCATTATTTAACCTGCTATGTTGTGCACTAAGCGCTATTGTTTGTCTGATCAAAATTTTGAAATCAATTGTTGTTAAAAAAAAATAAAAAATTGTTACATAAAGATGTTATCTTATAATATATTTATTTTTGAATAATTTTATTTATATTATAATTAAATATATGAATATTTTTTTAAATAACGAGTAGAGTAGACCATTCAATGACATACTTTTTTGAAAAGTCGGTAACGCGCGTTTCTTTTTTGAAAAGGTAAGGAGTAACGGTAACGCGTTCCTAGATAGTACCGGTAACGCGTTTCTTTTTTGTAGTAACGCAGCACTAATTGAAAGTCAAAAAGATAAAGAAACTACTGGATTGAAATAAGTACACTTAAATCTATAAGAACTAGAAAAACATTACCAACATATTTTAGATAATATATTATAGTATTTTCACGAAATATTTATATTCTAATATAATTATATTTATTTTATTATTTCCTTATATAAATATATTTGATTACAAAAGGAGTTGAATTTATATGTTTAAAAGTATTATTATTCTGAAGAAATAAGTTATTTTTCTCAAAAGATATACAATCTAGTCTTCAAATGTTTAATTTAATAACTCTTGATGTTTAAATTATTTTAATTCGCTAAACTTTATTAGTTTTTTCTTACCTAACCTATTTCTTTAGTTATATTATTTAACTTTATTTATTTTCCTATTTTTCAGTATTATATTGTTAAAACATTTTTATAATATTATTTGGTGAACGTTACCATAAATTTTTTTTAAACATTATTATTTTAAATATAATTTAAAAAAACTCATTTATCTTTTACCTTACCTTAGCAAAATATTAATTAAAAACAAATCGATAAAACGTCCATACCATGGAAGCAATAATAATAATGGATAATAATCCTTTCCATCATAAGTACTTAAAATAACAAAAAATATTTATCCTTTTCCTTTGGTTTAAGTAAATCTCAGAATCGTATGTGCTATTATGGTTATTCTTTGACCGGTTAGGATTTAGCAAATGCAGATAAATTATTGTTGATTTCATTCATTATATCTCTTTTGCAATGGAACAAGAAGCTTTGGAAAAAAATCCGAATTTAGAATTGGCTCAATGGAAATTCCTACTGGAATCAGAAGATCATAAAAAAGATAAGGAAATTAAAAACCTTCTGCAGAATGCTATTAAAGAAAATGGTAATTTTTAATATGTTTGATATAGTGTAAATATTAATTTTAGATATGGCTCCATTTTACAAGTCAATCTGTGATGATTTGAAATGGCCATTAGATGAAAACCTGTATAAAACTATGAAAGAAAAGAATATGGCTAAGCTTCAAATTTTAGAAGATGCAATATTGGATGCCCAACAAAATTTAGGCGATACTGAAATCAGAAGTGCCTTATTGGCAAAAGCTGAATATCTTTGCAAAATTGGAGAAAAGGTTTATGAGATGTTTTGTTATTAATGTACCTTATTATTGCTTAATTATGCTTATTAAAAATAAAAAATGTACATTATAAAATTTTGTAGGATGCCACTTTAACTGCCATTAGAATCGCAAACGATAAAACTACTGCATTGGGTCATAGATTAGATTTAGTATTCTTTCAAATTCGTATAGGCTTATTTTATCTTGATCATGATTTGATAAGCAGAAATATTGAAAAAGCCAAAAGGTATTTATTGACTTTTTTATCATCCTTTTGTTTTGCTTAAAGAAGAAATGCAAGATAACCTATTTTTTTAAAGTTATTTTTATCTGCTAACCTAAATTATTTTATAAATTTAACATTTATAAAAAAGGGTTCCTGTATTGTTATTCTATTATTATTATAGATTTAAAATAGGATTCTTCTTTCAGAAATTATGACCATAAAATTGAAACTATGTTAAATTATAAAATTTTTTAAAACTTTTTATTATTATAATTACAAAAATATGCTATTTTTAATTTAAAAAATTTTTTAAAAAGGACTGAAAGAATTGATGAGCCTAAATTTTAATATTTTTTTTACTAGTGTTGTTTACCATATGTAAAGATTGGCTAGCCATATGTAAAGATTGGCTAGCCATATGTAAAGATTGGCTAGCCATATGTAAAGATTGGCTAGCCATATGTAAAGATTGGCTTAAAAAGAGTTGACCCAAATGTATTTGTGTCATATGCTACCTTTTTTAGCTGTAAAAAAATTAGATTCAATTTTAGAGAGTAGACAAGTAGTAGGACTACTTCACCACTACTTTCAAATTTTATATAATAAATTTATTATTAGAAATTACTAAAATTTATTTGTAATTAATTTTAAAATTATGATTTTTATATTTAATTAAAATATGTTATATAAATTTAATTTATCAATTAGTATAATATATAAAATTCCTTCAATAGAGATAGAGATATGGAATATTAAAGACTAGTGAAATGGCTTGTTTTGACCCTATTTTTAAAACGGCTAACCTAATATTTTAGCCATAAAAATATTGCCTAAACCTCGAGATTACAATAATATAACGTATAAACCTTTGTTCCTATTATGAGAAAAATCTTGAAATATTGAGTAAGCCGTTTTTAAAAATCGGCTCAAAACAAGTCGTTTAACAATACCAGTAAGATAACACTCCAGCCTTATATGGACCAGACCACGATCTTTAGAAATAGACTGTGATTTTAAATGAACAGCTTTTTTATTATAAAAATATGTACTTCTTTATCTAATTTAATTTTTGTTTTATCATTTTATTAAACATTTCTTTAACAATATCAAATCAAATATAATTTAAATAATTTCTAATATCTTTGTTTGTAGAACTGCTTTGGAAGTAATTAGAAAAGGAGGCTTAATGTGGTAGATTTATACCATTTTATCTATTATTTGGTTCATATGTTCATTTTGATATTTATCCATGGCATATTAAAATTAGATTAGATATTTAAGGTATTTTTATCTAGATTCTCATCATGTGAGATTAAAATTTCGAATAATTTCTATTTATATTTTAAATTATTGATGACGATACTATAAATTTGTATTTCAGCGAACATATTCTGTGTTTTTTTATTGGAACTCTGAAGTAAAATGTTTTTTTGACTTTTTTTCATAGTTTGCAAAATAGAAATGAATTAGCAAAGAATATTATCACAAAACTACTCCTCTAGAAAAGTAATATAAAATAAAGTAATCACAAAAATTTGGTAAAAAAGTTATACCAATCAATTATTAAGGCAAACCTAAATATTGATAAAGGACTGCTTCAGACCATGGTACAAACTGGGAAAATAAAAGACCAGCCCAGACCACGGTTTTTGGTAAAGACCAATCCATCTAACAGTCCGGATTTGGTCTAAGACTGATAAGACAGAACTGTCGACCTTCACTAATACGGAAGATAGTTTCGAGACGAATAAAATTTCACTGGGAAAGGATATTGTCGAATTTCCTTTTCCAAAATTTACAAAATATTTTAAACTCAATTTAAAAAAAATTAATACAAAATTTTGCATTTAGAAGTGTAGAGTGTCATTGAATAATATTGTCCAATAAATCAGGCAGTCTCAACCTTAAAACATTTTAAAATGATTTATTTAATAAAATCAAGATTGTTTCTATGAGATAAATATACGTTTATCGATACTTTTTATATGTTTTTATTGTAAAAATTTTACATTCTATTATTTTTATTTGCCGTGTATTGTATGAAGATTTGGAAAGGTAAGTTTAAGAGAAATGGAATTGAGGCTTAAGGACTTTTTATATTGGATTAAGCTTTAGATCACTAAAAATGGGAATTTCTGGGAATATCTATTTGTATCTCCTAGAAAACTTTTAGCAATTTACTAAAATAATGTTAACTTTCTGACAATATATTTCCCGCCATTCATAACGATTTTTTTTAAAAAGTCAATTTAAATGAAAGTTTTTACTTCTATAACTTTCATAAATACTATTTTCCAGAGTTGTTAGAAGATAAGATACTTAAAAAAAATTTATATAGATACAGATAACACTTTATATCTAGATTAGTGATCTGCATTGGGCCATTTTCCAAGCCCGGCTCGGCCTGATTTTATTTTAATATAGAAATAATTTTTATGATTACTCAAAATAAAAGAGATATGTTATATGGCGTCTAGTTCTGTAAATAAAATCAAATGTTTTTATTTTACATTAAATATTCAATACAAAATTGATAAATCTAAACATGTTTTAAAAAATTTCCAAAGACTGACCCCACCCGGGACGATTTTTTTTTAAAAATATTAAGTCCGACCCGGCCCGAACCCGAATTTTTTAAAAAATATTAAATCCGACCCGGCCCGAACCCGAATTTTTTAAAAAATATTAAGTCCGACCCGGCCCGAACCCGAATTTTTTAAAAATATTAAATTTGATCCGGCCCGAACCCGAATTTTTTTAAAAAATATTAAGTCCGACCCGGCCCGAACCCGATTTTTTTTAAAAAACAAGCTGGGCCGGGTACGGGTTGGGTCTAATGTTGCAGATCTCTAATCTAGATACTTTAACAATTCTGTTATTTTCAATATTGCTTTAAAAATTTCCTGAGATATAAATGAGATTCACAATTTTTTAGTTAGAACGGGAGGTGCCGAAAAATATGAAACTCTTTTTTCTTATTTCATTTTTTCTTTTTTTCTTTTTTTCTTATTCTTTTCTTTTTTTAAAAAAAATATTTGTAATTCAATAGTTTAATAGACGAAGGAGGAGACTGGGATCGGCGTAACAGGCTCAAAGCTTACCAAGCTGTTTACTCCATGTGTATCAGAGATTTTAAAACGGCTAGCGAGTTGTTCCTGGACACCGTTTCCACGTTTACTTCGTACGAATTGATGGAGTACAAAACCTTCATAACTTACGCAGTACTTTGCAGCGTTATAGCTCTGCCCAGGACTCAGATACGGGCCAAAGTTCGCAAACATTTATATCCCTAAAAAAATATTATTTAATTGTTACGTTATGTATGCCCTACTTAGCAATATTTTTACTACCCTAGAACTAGTGTTGTTAAACGGCTCATCTTGAGGCCGATTTTTAAAAACGGCTAAAAAAATATTGCTTGAGTCTTGAGATCTCGATAATACAAGTCTAGATCTTTGTTCCTTTTATGAGCAGAATCTTTAGAACTTACGTAATATTTTTCTTGATAAAATATTGAGTTAGCCGTTTAACAACACTACTTAGCACAGATACGTTTCAAGATTGTATCACCCTATCCGTCCCTCCTTCATATTTTTAGGTATAGGAGGAGAAACGCCGAATGGGGGGGGGGGTAAGACGAAAAATAATCAGGAATAAAATACCCCCTTTTTTCAATCGCTCAAACTAGAGTGTTGTTGAACGGCTAACTCGATATTTTAGTCAGGAAGATATTGCCTGAGCCCCGGGATTTCGGTAACAGATGGCCAAATCTTTGCGCCATCTGTTGGCAAAATCTTTAGGCTTGTGTAATATTTTTCTGATTAAAACATCGAGTTAGCCGTTTTTAAAAATTGGCTCGAATCGAGCCGTACCTAAGCTTAAATAATCAGTATACTGATTTAGAGAAATCATCAAAAAAATTGGAATACAGTGTAAATAGATGGATAGATCAATATAAGACGAATAGATAATGTATGGGCTAAAGAATGGGTTAGAAATTGAATAATCAAAAACATGATAAGAAATGGGATTTCCACATCAATTAAGGGAAATAATTTAAAATATTAATTGTTATCCTAAATAAAAAATGAATAATGATGATTAAGTAATCATATCTCAAAAAAATGCATATGAAGTTCTAAATCTAGTAATAGCCTTGAATTGACATTTCCAAAATAAATTGTCAAAGAATATCAATTACGATACTCAAAATAAAGTTCGTATTAAGGCGGGAGAGGATGCCATAAATAACTTACAAGGAATGTCAGGGCCAGTATAGTTGAATTCTTTGGCATTAGGGAATTTAATGTAGTTATATTACTACTAATTATGAAAAAAATAATAATTCTTGACTTAATGAAAGAATTGTAATAACAAACTTTAAAAAAAATTTTCGGATAACCAAAATGTATTTTTACCCGCGATTTTTAGGTGATAAAAGGCGCCGAAATAACGGAAGTGCTATACGGAATTCCCCTTATGAAGGAATATTTGAATTCCTTGTACGATTGCCATTATAGTCTATTCTTCAAGAAATTGGGTAAAATTTTAGTAATTTTAGTTCTCTTACAAAAAAAGCTTAAAATTTAATAGTGTTTTATTGTTCTTTTTTTAAACATAAATCTTCTTTATTTCTGTTTTTTCAATATTAATTTCTTTTTTTAGAATTTGTATCTTTTTTTAAAAAAAATTTTATTTTATTTTTAACTTTATGCCTCTTTTTTAAAATAAATATTCTCTATTTTAGTTTTCTTTACTCTTTTTAAATTACTGTGATCCTTTATTTTTTGGAATATTTATAACAAATTAAATCCCCTCTGAATAAACAATGTTCATAGGCATTTTGAAGTTAGTTAAATATGATAGGCATCGTCGGTACTTTACTAGGCGAGGGGAAGCCATATTAGATCGGTTATTGAAATGCTTTTATATTTTAAAAATTATAAACTTTTACTTACTACCCTTTGATTAAATCATATATTTAAATATATTGTATACTTTGGGGAGGGGGTGATTTTTATTAGCTTAAAATGATATTTAGGAGAAACCATTATCCGTAGGGGACCCCCCCCCCCCCCCTCCCCATCTCTTCACTACGCTTATACCATATCCATAACAAAGTTTATATATAAAAGCGATGGTGATTAAGAAAGAAAACCCCAAATATTATGATAGGAATGAATTGAATAAATGAAAAGATGATTGTAAGGTTAAAAAATATAATATAGAAATGGTGTAATTTTTTTTTGTAAAAGCCGAGGTGGAGTCGAAAATCAAGCTGGATAGATACCTGTCTCCACATTACAGATATTATCTGAGGGAGATGAGAATTCTCGCTTACAGTCAGCTGCTTCAATCTTACAAAAGTCTTTCTCTCGTCAATATGGCGCAGACTTTCGGAGTTTCGGTGCCTTTCATAGATAAGTAACTATGTTTTCCCACGTTATTTTATATATCAAAGCATTTTTACGATTTAAAGCAGGATAAAAAGTCTTATAATATATAATAATGAGGATCTTACTAACCCTATATATTAGCCATCTGAATATTTTGAAAAAGGAGTAACCATTTAATTAAATAAATACTTTTTGTGAATCTCTGTAAAATTAGTATCTAAAAAAACTACTACTACTATGATAATCGTGTGACTTTCGAAATCTTTCTTCCAAGACATGCATAAGATGATTTTAAAAATTCGAATATGCCATTCTTTTTCTTTAAAAAAGAAAGAATTCATCAGGTTCTAATAAATGTAATTGCATTGATTATTAACATAAATAGGTACTCATTTTCATGGTTAAAAATGGATACCTAGTTAAAATGCGAATAAATTACAATGAACATACGAAATTCATTATATCCATATGTCCTTTAAAAAAATAAAAACGAAGAGAATTGTCGCGTTTTATAGCCGATGGAAGGCTCCATTGCAAGATTGATAAAGTGGCGGGCACGGTCGAAACAACCAGACCTGATCACAAAAATTTTCAATATCAAGTTTATAATTTCTTTTGTTTTTATTTATTTATTTTTCTTTTATTTCATTCATTATCTTCTTTATATTATATTTATATATATCTTTTATTCTTTTTATTTTTAGATCTTGTTTCTAATTATTTAATTCGATTTCTTTTTTAAATTCTGAAACCAGATCGACCTATAGACAATTTATCTACAATTTTTTTAAACTACCAAATCAATATTAGTGTACTCCATTTTTAAAATTCGAATAATTTAATGCAATATTAAATTGACCATGTTGTTTAAATAGTTTTGAATTCTAAGTTAAAAATTGGCATGCCCATAATTTATTATGCTCGCCTAGGTGATAATACTTTTGTATGTTTTTTAAAAAAAAATCATATAACAATTTATTTATATATATTTTTTTTTTAAATTAAAAACTATAAAATTAAAGATCCAATTTCATAATTGTGCTCCCAAAAAGGAACCTTATATCCAAAAATTCCTATTTGAAATTTTTGACGTAATCTAATGTTTTTTATGGCATAACCAAACTTGATTTTCTAAAATTTTGCTCCTAATGCTTTAAGATACAATATGATAGTTTTAACCTTCCACTAAACTTGATTTTTTAAAATTTTACACCAAGATACAATACAATGGTCCTAAACCTGTTTACCCTTATTTTTATTTTTTTTTAACCTCAATCTGTTCGATCGAATATTTGAGGAGTTTAGTAATTTTTTTAAAATGAGTAATCAAGTCGAAGCCTAAAATATTTTATAGATAGATACTAGTTATACTTTTAATATATATTTTTTTATTTGAAAAAAAATTTAAATATCAGGCCACCATCAAGCACGGAGATATTTTGCTGAACAGGATTCAAAAACTCAGTCGCATGATTAACGTCTGAATCATTGGAAGAACAGATTATAAAAAACTATAAGGAATATATACTGTATAATATAATAGTATTTCTCTATTTTTTTTTATACATGTATGATGTATTAAATTTCTCATATTATGAAATCAATTTCATGCGTCTTTTTTTTTATTGGAAGGAATTCTAATCAAATAAAATTGTCAGAAATCTCTTGAATATTGTACTTTGTAACAAGCCGGAACTTGCAGAGCCATGTTAAATCTAAGAAACGGATCTGGAACAAAAGTAATCACTTAATTTAATGAGTCAAATGTAAGAACTGAACTGGTTTCTATATTCGTGCATTTGATTTTCAAAAAAATCTTTAAACACTATAATCAGACGTGAGTGTCAGTTTTTCGCCCATCAAAAGTAATCATAGATTTTTTTTCCAATTTACTTATTTAGTCCTCAGAACCAAATCAACTCAAAACGGGAATCATCTCTTTTCAAAATTTTTAGAAGCCAGAACGGCTATTTGAAAATTATTCAGAACGGCATACCTTTTTGATATATTATTTAAAGCTCTGGTTTATATGCATCGATATATTGACGAATAAGTATAATTTTATAATACCAGCTGTCATTTTCATTTATTAATCGTTAGAAATGACTTATGATAATTATTTAAATAAAAAGAAAACGAAAAATATTTGAAATGAAAATAGATAAATATATTTTATCTTGAGTGCTCCTCTTATCATTACATTTTACTAAATTCATTCCTTATCTGCCATCTTAATCCATCGCATCGCCATATAGAGTTGATCTTGACTTAAAAAAGATTTAATCTCCCTATCATTAATACAAAATTTCTGATTTGTCACTTATAATGTACAACATAGAAACTTTCTAGTAAATTGATTTGACAAGTTCTCAATCAGTCGAGGCCATATGCAATAAAGAATCTATCAAACTTAAAATAGCTTTTTTTTACAGTACCTATATAGGACTAAATACCCACATAAACTTTCTTATTACCTTAATTTTTTGAATTTAATATTCTATTCACCTCTTTTTTTTACATATCACGATCTAGATATGACCTCAAAAATTAAATATGATATCCGATTCTAAAATATTGACTCAGATAGGAGTTAGTTAAACGCATCAAAGTTCACAAACACTTTCTTTAATCTTATGCAAAATTATGATATATTAAATATTTATAATGCATTTACGTCTTGCCATAAGTCAAAAAGGTAGGACAATTTTCCCTTAAAAAATTTTCCCCAGCGGAAAACCTTCAATAAAATTTTTGACAGTAAAATCTACCCTAATATTATCCCCCCCCCCCCCACTTTCCCACTAAAATACTTAAACATACCTATATTAAATTTTTATACTTTATTATAATTCACAAACTCAATAAAATGTCTATAATTTATAATTAATTAATATAATAATGCTGTTAACAAATTTATTTTTCATCATCATAAGGTTTACTAAATACAAAAATCTTTTCAACCATGTTGACCTTAGTTTCATGACCCTTAATAGGCTCCATTATTATCCAATTAGAAGCCATGTGTAATATGCGTTCTAAGGAATAAATCCTGTGAGCATTCCATTCGATGTACCCATTCTCAGCATTTGTATAAGGAACATTGAGAAAAAATAACCCTCCTGGCTTTGTTAAACACCAGGTCTGCGCCATCGCTTCTAGGTCTCCGTAAGGATTTAATTCATCTCCGTACCTTCCTAATCCAGAATGTTCAAGTGACGAATAAGCAACGGCAACATCAAAAATAGGAACTATATTGGGGGACTCCTTGCAAAAGGATGCTAAAATATATTATTATTAGATTTAATATCAAGCAAAAATATGGTTTATAGTAACATACATATTAAGTATTCTGAATTAAAAATAATTCTTTAGTCAAACTCTTTTTAATCCAGACATTAGTCTTATCACAGCATATTTTTTAAATAAACAACAAAAAATGTCTGGCATATCTCTAAAAACTAATAGACCATTTCAAAACGACCCATTTTTTTTGTCCAAATATTTATCACGGGGAACTATGCTGTTAACGCTACAGTGAAAGAAATATCGACTGTCATTGCTTAAATTAGCTATTTTTAAAAAATAATACTCAGGCCGGGCCCTATATTTTAAAACTAAGCTATAAAAATTAAAAATAAATAATGAAGCGGGCCTAAAAAAAATCCTGACCTGGCAGTGCAAATAGTAATTCTGCAGGTCTCTTATATATATTAAAAAACGCAGAAAGTAAATATAAAAAAACAAAGATTAAAAAGGTAATACGAAAAGTAAAAAAAAATATTTGACTACAACACCTCAAGTTTGATGCCAATTGATGATTGTTCTAATTCGAGGTCCTAAGTTTAATTTTCAAGTATAAGTCATTGTGTTGTTTAAATTACCTCGAAATTGAAGCGAATTAATTTTTTTAAATTTCGAGGTGGCTATATTAATTTGAAGCCATTTTAGAAAAAAAAACTAATTTAAGGCTATATTTTGTAAATTTCATAAATGCAAATCTTTATATAAATTCGAAATAGTATATAAGTAAATGAATTCTACGGGTTCATTTAGTTGCACCACCATTTTGGATTGTAAATGTCTTTAAGCTGGACTGGCTTATGCTTATGTCGTTTTTAATTCCACCGTTTTGAGTTACTTCGAAATTAAGGAAATGACAATTTCAAGGCTACTCTTCCTTTATAATTTTTTAAAAAATATATATATAATGTTGCTTGTGTCGCTTCAGTTCCATTTATGCAGTTTCTGCTTCGAGTTATTCCAATTTAAATATTTGGCTCGGAAAAGATAAATTTCCAAATTATTTATTATCAACAATTTTTAAACCGGAAATGATAGGGACTCCTCTTTTCTTCCATGTGATGCTTTCTAATTAATTTTATGATCAGCTGGTCAGAAAATTAGACTAGTACAATTGTAATTTTAAATTTCGTAAATTAATTGTTTTGTGTTAGTTATTGATTTTGTTATATTTGTGAAATTATATTTTTTTAGTTAATACTATATTTAAAAATCCATTTTTTTTAGTATTATTATTTTAAATTTTTTTAAACTGAAAAGAACAAGAACTCGTTTGTTCTTCCCAATGGTGTCTAGAGTTTCTGTATCTAGATAGATTTTTGATTAAAGTATCTGTATATAGATATTATTTTAGAGGTATCTGTATCTGTTTTTAGATACTTTTTAAGATACATTTTGATATACTTCTATTTAACGCTTTTTTATATTATAAATAAAAATACTTGAATGTAAAATTTATTTTATTTCGTATGAGCATATAATTTAATATAATATATATATTAAAAAATTATATATATATGTAAAATATTAAAACTTGCATATAAAAAAGAATATATAAATATTAATTAAATATTATGTCCGAGTTATCAATAATAAGCAAATTCTGATATTACATCCATCTCAAGGAATTTGCCATTTTTAATTGCAATGGAATTGGTATTTTATTCTATTCTATTATATTAATTTTTAAGATTAATATTGATGACGAAAATGACGACATTCTTCCTTGGCCAATTTATAGACCATATTTTAAAATAATATCTCAAAATAAAGAAAACAAATCTCTGTTAGTAAAATGTTTGCCATGTCTACCAAAAAATATGCAAATTTCAGTTAGCATTACCTCAACTTGCAACATTGTAAAACATTTAAGGGTATAGATACTAAATAAATGTTTACAATTTTAAATTTTAAGAGAAAACATCATACACTCTTAATCCAAATAAATAAGGGGAAGGAGAAAAAATCTATTAAAGAAAATATTGGACTAGGCTCAACGTCCATTGATTTTTTTTCCAAGAGACCTCAGACTTTAACCCAAACCACTTTAGATAATTTAATAACTGATTTTATTATAGATAGCATTCAGCCATTTTCAATTGTTGAAAATCCTTCATTTATAAAAATGATCAAAACATTAGCTTCACAAAAAAATATAATTTGCCAACAGACAGTGGTTGTTACTGAAATCTAATAATTATTTATAATCATTTAATCATATATAATAACTATTTATATTAATCATATATTATATTGATATCTAAAAATCATTATTTTCGTTATATTTTGATAAATGTGATATCGAGTCAATAAATTTTTTAGATCATTTCATGAATTTTCACAATAGAATCCTAATTTAGGTTTATTCAAACCTTATCTAAGAGTATAATAAAAAATGTATCTGTACCTAGATACATTTTAAATTGTATCTGTATCTAGATAAATTTTTAGACGATGTATCTGTATCTAGATTCATTTAAAAAGTATCTTTTAACAACACTGGTGATTTAACATTATTTTTATCTTGATTGGAATTCTAAAATTTAAAAAATGGAATTTCATTTTTGCTCAATTTTGTTGGTTTATACCGGTTTCAGTTCGATTTGCGAATTATCATCTAAGTTATTCCATTAAAGAAATACTAATTTTTTAAACCGGAAATAACAGAGTCTCATTTGTTATTTCTAATTATGCATTAATTTTTTTTTCTTATTTTGATTAATTATCAGAAAATTCGTCAAGACTGAAAGCAACACCGATAAGTTTGAAATCCTAATTGAGATACTGTATATTTCTAGCGCAATCACCCTTGACCCCAAAGCTCTATAGATGGTGTGGCAAAGAGATATTAAGTCTATCTTCCGATAGAATGGAAGGTTTATTAGGTCATGCAGAAACAATAGGCGAATTCTATCAAGTCCTCTGGGCCCATCTCCTTTTCAGTAAAAATAGAGTATGTTCAGAGGTTGATAAAAATTAAAATGAACCATCAGCATTGTGCTTAAATGATGGTTCTTAACAATGTACCATCAAGTGGGGCAAAAGTCTGATTAGAATTCATACGGAGAGCTTTTTTTTGCCATTTAACCTAAAAATTAAGAAAATAAATACTTAATTCTTCATTGTATTCGCTCATTTATTGTTTTATTTGTTTGTAAATTTTCCTATTTTTGTTTGGTAATAAATAAATATTTTTTTAGTTTTTAATTCTCTAAGATGTTTCACAAAACAAATTATAGAAGGTTGGGAATGAAGTGAAGGGTTGGCATGCATGAATCAAATAATGTTTTTTTTTAATATACTTCGATAATTTTGGGAATATTTTTGTCAAATAAAAGTAATGAATGGTAGAAAGTTTAAAAACGGCTGACTCAATATCTTGGCCAGAAAAATATTGCATAAGTCTCGATATTTGGCTAATAGATATCCAAACCTTCGTGCTAACGAGAAGCAAAATTTTCCTGCTTATGTTATATTTTCTGGACAAAATATTGAGTTAGCTGCTTTTGAAAATCGCCTCCAATCGCGCCGTCTAGCAATAGTAGTAGAAAGTTAAAATATAAAATTTTTTAAGGAGACTAAATAAGTAGGGTTTAGCTAGACCGGTTGCAGAGACCTTCATGAGCCGTGTGGGCCGGTAGATGGGCCTCGATTATTTAAAACAGTTTCTAATTTAACGAATATTGCCTTTTTTTCTTCTAAATAATAATAAATTTCAGTTTTATGATTGCCTAAATATATTTAAATATTGTTTATTTTCATTAAATAAAAAAAAGAATTAAATTTTTGTATATGGGCTTGGGAAATTTTTGTGAAACTTTATTATGGGCTTGGGCCGGACTTGGGAATTTTTTCTAACATTTAATATGGGCCGGGCCGGGCTTTGGCCAAAAAATTTTTAGCGGGCTTGGTCAAAAAATTAAGGTCCATTGAAGGTCTCTAACCGGTCGCTACTTTCAACAGCTGATTTAAGAGCATTGATCACATTACTAGATCACATTTTATTAATATTTTTAAAAATGCTAAAAATTAGATAATTTCGAAATATAAAAAATATTAACTTCGCTTTAATATCTATTATAGAACTTACTCGAGTAAATTTCTATGCAAAGGACGGAAACAGCTTTGCCAGAAAAGACAATTTCCGATTAAATTCTTCCTTCCAAATCTGTTCGGATTAGATTAATTATCCCTTAAAATCGGAGATTAAGATCTCTTTACAAATATAAATGTAACGTTGTCTTATGAATCAATTAGACAGTTAACTTTAGTACTAACTTGAGTCATTAAAGCTGCTAAATATGATGTCCTCCGCGAATTCGTATGGGAAAACGACCCTTAATTTTGGATGAGTACTTTGAATGTTAGCATATTCCCACGTGATTACAGAATCGATCCCCAGTTTTAGTAATAGCATTTCTATCCAAAAAGCTTGACTACCTATGACTAATCCAACCGATTTGGCACCTGCAGTTAATGGCAGATAATTCCGCATATATTTTTTGAGCTTTCTATATAGCTTGTTCACTATTTTAGGACCATAAGTACCTATTAACTTTTCTTCTAGGAATTTAGATTCCATTTTTTTAATCATACTTTCACTGATAATTTTACTAGTTTTAGAGGTGTCATATTTATTCAGCTGGAAATACTTTATTTTTCTGATAGGCATTCTTTGGTTCATGGTAAAATTCGGAATCAATTCCAACGGCGGATATCTAGGCGGATCCTGATCTAGAAGTTCATCGCTTCCCTTGAATCTCATCCGATTAATAATGTTGAAGCAATCGAAGGATTTTTTGACTATTAGCTCTGAGATCCGACCAATATGATCATCGAAGTTTGATTTGATAACTGGATAATGACTTAAACTTATGTCGCATACCTCTTCGCAAGGTGGCTTAACAGATATATTGATGTAGTTTTTGCATAACCCATCATCTAACTCACCTAACTTCTAAACGGTTAATAAAAAAAAGAAGCCTTTAGCAAAAAATAATAAGTTTTTTTTTGAAGATTTACCTTTAATTTCGGTGGATGAAGATTCGATGGATGACCATACTTGAAAATTCCGATGACCGTAGCTAGCAGTACGAATAGCCAAAAATTAGTCGAACCATTTTTTATATGATATTTATAAAAATCAACGATTCTATCATTTTTGAGGAATTTAAACATTTAATACACCTTTATCAAAGCACTTAAAAATTGAAAATTAAAATAAAAGAGATCAATGACTATTTATTATTTTTAATTTTATTCCCTTTTTTATTTTTATCTTACAATAAATAAAATATATTATTTCTTACATAATTATCTTAATAAAAAATGATACATTTTAATATTTTTATCTATTTTTTTATTAAATTGATTTATTAATTTATTAATTTCTAAAGGTATATGTGACCCTAGATTTCTCTATTTTTACATAATTAATAAATAATTTTTGTTATCATTAGCCCGACAATAATCTCAACGAAAAAGAAAATGGCGAAAAAAACTGTAAAAAAAAGGTATATCTTTAGGAATCAAAATCTTGGTATATATAAAATAGAGTAAGATAGTAACAGACCTGGATAATCAAATCTTTTGGAATAGAGTAAGATAGTAACAGACCTGGATAATTAAATCTTTTGGAATAGAGTAAGATAGTAACAGACCTGGATAATCAAATCTTTTGGAATAGAGTAAGATAGTAACAGACCTGGATAATCAAATCTTTTGGGGTTCTAACCGTGCCCGCGTCCTGGAATATAATTGTTTTACGGTACCACGCGTTCCTTGAAATTTTACACCTCGAACTTAAAATACTTATTTTATTCTTCCTTTTTCAATGTAACGAATTCGAATTTAAATATTCGGCGATAACTTTGATTTATCTAATATGTTAATTCCATTCTATAACAAAAAATATAGAATAAGAGGAATATGAAATATTTCTCACTCTTTTTTTAAATTTTTTTAAGTTCATTTTATGATTGTGAATATACTCAGTCCGGCCAAAAATGAAGAATTATGCCACTAATATTTTATCGGGCCAAGAGCCAGGGGTGGCCCGGCCCACCTGGACATGTAGGGCTCTAACTTAGGCAGTTTTTTTATATTTTGTACATGGGTACTGCGGGGAAAAGAAGCACTTTACTTACGAATTTCGGATCTTACTAGAAGAACCAAATGGCACAATTAATTTTGATTTTCTCGCATTTGCCCTGGGAAAAATTCTTTCTTATTTTTTTTAAATATTGATAAAGTAAACGATAATATTATCAGAGCACAGTTTTTCCTATTCCTGTTTTTTTGTTGGATATATTTTTATAATTTGCTTGGGGTAGGAGGGTTCATCTCTCACTCCTTCCCTATTTGCCATAGTTATAAAATAATGAGATTAGGAGTTTTCCCATAAAATTCTCGTTAAAATGATTATATTTATTAAATTTACTTTTAAATAATAATATACAAAAGGATTTAATATAAGAAATTTGATTGTCTTATCTTTAATTTTATCACTGTTTCTTTATTTCGAGTAAATATATCTGATCAACCCTCTAAAAAAAATATTTTAAATTGTCAACAAACCCCAGAGGATTGAAAGGAAACAAGAATTTTATTATTATGGCGCATGTTTATAATGATTTAAAAACGAAAAATATAAATTATTTAAATTAGCAAAACAAAAAATAAAATAAATATCATTTTTAAAAAAAAATGTCGGATAAATTATGGTATGATAAAGTGTATAAGAGAAGTCATATTTACACGACAAAAATGAAATGAGTAATTGAATTTGATAATGTATCGAAGAAGGAAAAATGGCAGCTTTGAGTATTGTAGTGATCTAACTGTCATTTTTATTTTAAAATAAATAAATTTTGGTTAGTAGCATCCTTTCTTAAAAGACAAAATTGAAATATAGAAATGGGTCAGAAAGAACTCCAATGCTCAAAGCTACTAGATAATGTCATTTCGCAATATTTTATAGTAAAATATATAAATAATTAAGTTAGAATTTTTAGTATTAAATAAAAGAAAAATAATTAATTTTTTGGTGTAAAATTGATTGAGGGCTAATATATTGATATGATATGATCTGGATTGTTTACACGAAATATGAAGATGTTTTGACATTTAATTTAAAATAAATAAAATTACACTGACCTAAGTAACAAAAAAAATTGAGTGGAAATTTTTATATAAATCAAAAAAGAATATTTTTTTTAAAAAAAAAATAAAAAAATAAAAAAAAAATAGAATGATATAAAATATAGAATAGAATGGAATGGAATGGATTGGAATGGAATGGAATGGAATGGTATTATCGGGAACAAACTACGCAAGACACCTCTCTTCCGGATAAGAAAGCTTTGCCGGGTAAATTGGCATTCTTTAGTTCGACAATATAAAGAGCCGAACCGTCGCCGGGTGTCCCACTGGATTCGAAATCAGCATTTTCGTCGACGCAAATATAGCTAGAACGAGATAATTCCTCGTTAGCCGCCATCAAGTAACCCCTGAATGACAATTGCCACTCACTTTTTGTGTTAATTTTAATTTCGTCGCTTGCCAAATCGTGATCATAAGATCCACGAGAAGAGGATGAATAACCTGATCTGGGACAATCTTTAAAACCCGGGAACATTAAAGTAACCGCACGAGGAACGCAGCACAGAGAACATAGGCCCACGTTGAACTTGTGACCCTATTTATGTATTTAATGTAAAAGTAATGTATAAGATTTAGTTCGTAAGCCGTGCCCGACCTGGGTGATTTAAGTAATTTCTAAAATATGCGAATCCAATCCCAAATTCTTTAAATATTAGATACAGAAAAAAACTTGGGTTGTTTTTGAAAATATAAATAGAAAGATGATTAGGAAAACAAAATATTTGAAATTGTCATGGAAGTCAGTCAGAAAAACAAAACTTAAAAGTTTGGGAAAATGTGTGCTTAAAAGTTCAGTCGGATTCCACTCTGCCTCGGGAGTAGTTTCTACAAGATTCTAATATGTCGAAGGGGATTCAGAAAATTCAAGGCTATTCGTAGATCCTGGAAATAATATAAATTATGCATAGTTCGAAAGTTCATTATAAAATTGTCTTGAAATCGACAGGGAAGCCTTTCTAAATAAAACACACGTTATTAATGATTTATGCTTTAAACATTTCCTAAACTATTTACTTGTATCAATCAAAATAGAATAATAATTTTGAAATGACTTGGGGGCTTACCTTTATTTAAGATCTCTACATCCCACCTCCACTTTCCATAAAAATACAAAAAAACAAGAAAATCTAAAAAAGGTTTCTCATTCCACCTTTCTTTCTTTCTTTCTTTCTTTCTTTCTTTCTTTCTTTCTTTCTTTCTTTCTTTCTTTCTTTCTTTCTTTCTTTCTTTCGTTTTTCTTCCTTCCTTCCTTCCTTCCTTCCTTCCTTCCTTCCTTCCTTCCTTCCTTCCTTCCTTCCTTCCTTCCTTCCTCCCTTCCTCCCTTCCTCCCTTCCTCCCTTCCTCCCTTCCTCCCTTCCTCCCTTCCTCCCTTCCTCCCTTCCTCCCTTCCTCCCTTCCTCCCTTCCTCCCTTCCTCCCTTCCTCCCTTCCTCCCTTCCTTTCTTTCTCATTTTAACATTAGGGATGCGTCAACCTTGCGAGTGAATGGTGAATGCTCATCGTACAATCTATATTCGGCCCCATAAATGGTTGACTTGGATTGAAAGCCCTCGAGGATAAATTTGAAGTCCGGATTACGCGGCAAACATTGATAGTCATAACCGGATCCCGAAAAGAAATAGTGACCGCCAGATATGTAGCCTTTTTTTAAAACAAAGATATAAAATAGAAAATTGAGTTAAATGCTACTCTTTAAGTTTATCTAGTGCTGATAAATGATTTTTAAAAATGTCTACCTCAAAATTATATTACGCCAACTCGAATATAGTATCTTTGATTGGCGATTCATAAGTACATTTAAAAGTGTACACATTTAGGAGTCAGCTGTAGCGCCATTTTGGTGTTTCGATTAAATGACATTAATATGCATTCTTATATAAGGATCGATAAAACAATTAGTTGTGATCCACAAAATGAGGCTACAGCTGACTTCCTATACATGTACACATTTAATTAAAGAATGTATAATATATTTTATTTTTTATGTAATATAATAAAAAATTTAAAAAAACAAAAAAACATTAAAAACATTTGGGTTTGTTTTTGTCATATTTTGAATACTTATCTTCTAAATCCGTGTTAATTTATGTTGATAATTTGGATATTAGATTTATTAACTTAATTAATTGGCAGGAGAATATATACCATCACAAAAATGACAAAAAAAATAGGTTATAAAATGAATTACCGTCATAAATAGTTTCCGCATCTCCTAGTGGATTTTGACAACTGCTTTTACCGAATTGAATGTAGCAAGAATGATATTCCTTTTCCACTTAATTTTCAGGAAAATGAAATTATATATATGTTTTGAAATATGTATACATATAAATGTGTATGCTAATTAAGACCAATATACAATACAAGCAAGTATATAATTAAAGAAATAGCATCATAAAGAATAATTTAAAATTATCCTATTGGAATCACCTCACTGGAATTAATTAAAGATCAAGATGGTTTACTATTTACTAGGGTTGTTTCCTGATTGAAGCGTGCGAGGAGACATAGAACGCGTCCACGATTCGATCTTAAAAATCGTTTGCGAAACGTTCAATATGCCCCAATCAGGAACGCTATGGTGAAACTACAAATATATACATAAACTCAATCCATATACTTTTCATTATACACTATAAAAGGCATGACCAAGATTTTACAAAAAGGAGCGAAAGGGAAGGTTTTATAAATATTATTGGAGGTTTTTGGCCAGGTTTTCTTGAAATAATAATTTAAGTTTTGTATTTTTTATTGTCCTTTTTCTTCTGAAAGATTTAAATTATAGTTATTATTTTTTTTTTTTAAATTATTAATTTATATATACATTTATTTTTTCTTTTGGAACTGTTTATAATTATTTTATCGGACTACTAATGTAGTGAACTTTAAAATGATAGTCCTTGCTAATTACTCTTATGATAAGCATTTATAGTAGTATCTAATTTAAAATATAACGGTAAATTAAACCTATAGGCCCGACTTTGGCGCAGTTGTGGCAAACGCCAGATTCACCATCTATACCGTGAGTTCCATCTTGCCCAGGTGTTCCATCTAACCCCGGTGCTCCCACTTGTCCGTCTAGACCGGCATCACCTCTTTCACCTTAAAATATAATTATATTTAACAAGAGATAGGGCACAGTAAAAATGACTCATTTTAATATACCATAATACTTGGCTTATAATAAAAAATGTGAATAATATACCTGGGTTTCCTGGTTTGCCATCGATCCCTGGTCTTCCGGTCGGTCCTTGCGGACCTTTCTGACCAGTAGCACCTGGATGACCATTTTTACCAGTGTTACCATCTGGTCCAGGTGGTCCTGGAGGTCCAATCGACCCCGGTCCTCCTGGCGAACCTCGCCCGCCTGTTGGACCTGCTGGTCCTTCTTTACCGTCTTGCCCTGGTTCACCTCTGTCACCTGGAGGTCCCTTTTAACAATATGGTTTGTTATAATGGATAATTTGTTTAGTTATATATGCATCCTTAGAGTTTTTTTAAAGTTATTTTTTATAAACATGAGCTAGGAAATAAAATAAAAAATATGGCCAAATTTTTTAGTTGAAACTTTGTAAATCTTTCATTAACGAGTAAAAGTTCCAAAACTTTTAAAACAACTTTTGGACATAACCTTAGGCCAAGGCCATGCCAAAGCCTTATTTCGTTAGATCTTTCGAAAAAATTTAAAAAACTATTAATATATAGTCATAAATTAAAAGAGAGTACTCTTAAATTTATTCCCAAACACATTTTCTTTCTTTCTTTCTTTCTTTCTTTCTTTCTTTCTTTCTTTCTTTCTTTCTTTCTTTCTTTTGACTTAAATTTGATGTTCAAAATTATATTAGCAGGGCTCGCCAAAAGATAAATATACTCTGGGTCCAGGTTTTCCCTTTTCTCCATTTCTTCCTGATAGTCCATCTTTTCCGGCTAAACCATCGTTGCCTTTGGGTCCATTAGCCCCGGGCAAACCGTCTTTCCCTTGTTTTCCATCTTTACCCTTCAATAAATAAAATTATTTATACAAATTGAGCGTTTCAAATGCTGCCTTAAAGGGCAAAATGGCCTCATGCAAATTGGTAAAGTTATCGTTTGGCGTTAACGACCATTTTAAAAACGCAAATATGTTTGCTTTTTCATAACTTTATTTTAATGAATGCAATATAAATAACTTACTTTACTTATATCCTAAAAAAAGGAATATTTAGAAATGTAAGAAATAAGAAGGCAGACGATAATGTAATCTTCAAAAACAACTCCTTTTTTTTGGTAAGAAGTGATAAAAAATCGACGATATTAATAAAAAGGCAACCTCAATATAAACAAGGGATGCCGATGCGTTACGTTTTTTTTTATTAACAAATCATGGCAAAAAACGTAAACGCTCAACTTGTGTGCCGTGCACTATAAGTCATTACGAGATTATATTATAATATGAAGGCTGCGTTTTGATTGGAAAAAGTGTATGAGCGATTACGTGTTTTCAATATTTACATCTGCCTAAATTTCAATTTAATTTGATTCAATCAATGGACAACCCAGCTGTTTATTCGAGACGAGAGTATCGAATAGAATTTAACGTATTCATCAAAAAAAATTTAAAAATGGAGGCTCTCACTACGACAATAGAAAAAAATAATGAGTAGTTTTATATTCGTTTTGAAAACAAATGCCATAAAAAATGGATAAGCAAAAAAGGGAAATGAGCAAGACGTATAATTCTGTTTCGATATCTTTTTCAAATTTTTTTTAATTTTAATATTTGAGAATTAGTGTTAGCTAATAAGTAATACTAAGAGAAATTTATTTTTATGCGCTTTTTTAAAACATAAAAATACTATTTACAGCAGGTCCAGGTAACCCCGGTATTCCATCCTTTCCCGGGATTCCGTCTTTACCAGGAGTAGCATCGATACCATCCGGGCCTGGAGGTCCATCTTTACCGGGCACTCCTGAAGGACCTATTGGACCCTTTTAAAAATACAAATTAGAATTGTCATAATAAACTTTTTTTATCAATTTTTTTAAGGATTTTTTTAAAATAGATAATAAAAATTGGGAGAAGAAAATGGATAAAACTTTATAAATTTTTACTTTTTCACCTGGGCTACCAGGTATCCCATCCGAACCGGAACTACCTGGTTCCCCATCTTTGCCGGCATGCCCATCAAGTCCATTGATTCCAGGATTACCATCTTTTCCTGGCGCTCCTTTCGGTCCCTTTAAATGTGTGTAATAAAAATGCATATTTATAAGCTACTCGTCTCGTATTTATATCTTATTTCTTTCCTGCGCATTTATTAGACAATATATATACTTAGGCTAATTATCTTAAGACCTAACCCAAAGAGTTTAATTTACTTCTTGTATGCAATAATATGTTAAGATAAACCGTCCTAATTATATAATAATAAAAATAGAGATGAAAATATATTGCAAATAAAGATAGACAGATGGATAGATATACTATAATTTATTTAATAAATTGTGTAAACCATATTTCCTTTGGTTCCTGTTATTCCAATTTTTCCGGGGTTACCGTTTCTTCCAGGGTTTCCATCTTTACCTGGCCTACCTGGCAGTCCATCTAGCCCTGGTCTACCGTCTCTCCCAGGTGGACCCTGGTTAATAATCACAATAACTAAGATTAGAAAGAAAGATACTTTTCTATCTTCCCTTTTTTTTACAGTCTTTGAAAAAAAGGAGCAAAATTGGAATGTCATATTAATGTTTCAACATAACTATACAAGTCCCTGATATATAATAGTTACCGGAGGTCCACTAAGCCCTGGAATACCATCTTGCCCTGGTTCACCGGCTATACCAGCTTTGGCGTCTTTGCCTTGTTGACCCGCCTCCCCCGTAGGCGCATCATCACCAGGTTGTCCCGAGTAACCCTTATTAAAAGGTTATTATATATAAATTGTAAAAATTATAATGGAGTAGATAAAACAATATAATTTTAATACTTATACTCAAATTTTAATGTCTTACTTAATTATATAATTGTTTTATCTCGAAACTTTTGAATAGCGGAACATATGATGATTAATAATGGATATAATCATTAAAAATAATAAATCGAATATTAATAACTTGTTCTCCGGATAATCCCGGCAAACCGTCTCTCCCAACTTCGCCTGGCTTTCCGTCTCTACCCGGCACTCCATCTAACCCAGGCCTTCCTGGAAATCCATCCCTCCCTGGTTGTCCAGATGGACCCTATATGCAATTATTACATTTTTATTTGAAATCAGATGCGACTTAACAGGTGATCGAATTTAAATCTTAATAATTATAAGCTTATTACGATGACGCAATTTACGTCAAAATGAATATCGACAAATAAAAAATTTTGTACTACCTGAATTTACTTTCATACGAATCAACAATAAAATAATATAACCAAAATTCCATTTTTTCCTGGAGGACCATCTCGCCCTGCTGGTCCATCTTTCCCTGATGCACCGGAATCCCCATCTTTACCTGGCTCGCCTGGCATCCCATCTAATCCTCTATCTCCTCGAGGTCCCTATTGTTAAAAATATATAATTAAAATTGACCTTTTTTTTAAATCTAATCTAAAAAAGGTTTTTAACTTGAGTTCCATAACGGCCAGCAACCCCGTCACGTCCAGTATTTCCATCGGGTCCTGGCGATCCGTCTCTTCCTGGTCGACCATTTTCTCCCGGTGATCCTGGGATTCCAGGAGACCCCACCCTACCTGGAGCCCCATCTGAACAACGTCTGCATTCTTTCAATGTGTATTATATTTTTATATCTTATTAAATATCAATGACAAAAGTTAACAAAATGAAGAATAATCATGAAAAAAAAGAATACTGGATTCTGGAACATTCAGACTCGAATTCTGGACTTGGACCCTGAAATATTTAGAACAGACCCGGTATTATGTGATTGTTCATTTTATGATTAATCTCTAACAAAAGGTGAAAACTATTAGATGATGCCAAAATTGAATTATCTGTCTTTACTACTAATATTGGGCACAGCTGTGCGCTTTGTTCTACTTTTTAATATTCTTTATCTTCCAAAATTGGTATTTATCGAATTTAAATTAAATTTATAAAAAAAAATGAATTGCCATTTTATAAATTATATATATAATCGTCTGCCTTATTATTTTATTCAGAATTCCATTTAAAATAAATTTTTCATATTTTGTTATTTATATATATAATATTTAAATTTCGTTCATTCGTTATTCTTTTGTCATTCTGTGTCGTTAAGAACGGCAGAGCGACACTTGATTTCACCGGTCAAATTATGATAAAAATTATCTACCAATTTTTGGACAAGCTGTAGTTACCTGTGCGCACACAGGGTTTAGCTCCAAACTTAAACGCCTTTGGACAATAAGAAGGTTTAAATAAAATGCCATACCTCATTTAATTAGAGTTTTTAATTAGGGATGGGTTTGTATGTTATGATTTTTACCATATATTCTTAAAGATTTAATATCATATCCATTCGCTTCATATTTATCCTATAAAAATAATATTTAATATTAATTTATATTACATAACTTCTTTATGTTTCTTAACAATAAACCCATATAAAATTGTTTTTAATTTGATGATTTACATATGAACTTTTCGATTTTATAAAAGCTAGTTCTAGGCATAAATTTTATATTTAGATTCAATATTCATTCTCACAGGAAAACCGGCAATATTATTAAACAACTAGGAAAGAATTTTTAGTACCCCCTTCCCCCTCCCCAATTATTATTATCTGGGTTTTGTCTTGTGTATAATTATGAATGAAAAAGTATCAAAAAAGCTAAACCAGTTCGTTTTTCAAAATGTTTTATAACTCCAAACGATAATTTGGCAAATTTGCACAATACCATATGAAATGTATTTGCGTTTGTAAGAAAAGTTTAAATGGTCAATTTGTGCGCACTATGATACATTAAATTGCATCTGTCCTAACATGGTTACCTAGATCAAATTTTTTACCAGAGTTAAACTTGTAGACAAAAATTTCTATTTCTTAAAGCTCTTATTTTCACAAAATATACTTACATATACCTCATTCTATTTGATCGATAGTTACGGTAACTTTAATTTATATTTTAGCCGATCTGGACCAATCCGGTCTGCCTAGACCAATCCATAAGAACTGAAAAACTTATTTAAACCGTCTTTGTCGTGTTATTTGATATGCTCTTGTTCTTTTGATAATATAGTAGTATTTTTTTATATTCTTTTCATTGTGCAAGCAAATGAATATAAATACAATGAGAAGGAAGAAAAAGAAAGATTTCTAATATTTTTTTATTAAAAGTCATGCTTAAAAGGGTTGCTCATAAAAATTATCCATGGACTTCAATCTCATATTTGCAAAATGAGCAAACTAATTTTTCTTTCAATATTTGTAATTATCAAAATTCAGCATTTCGCGCCATTTTTTTTTCTTGGCAACCGCGCTGGAATGGATTTCCTCCCAGTTTAATAATATCTGGTTAATAAATTTTACAAGAATCGCCACTGGTAGGAATAATAAAATATATGTCTCTTTCAAAGAAGTGCTCTATCGATTTAGTTGACATTATGAATGTCACATAAAGTTTTGTGTTAACACTTTAAAGAAATTAGGTGTACAATGTATGATGAATTTCATAAACTATGTGATTGTCGAGTTCAAAGTTAAAAGTAGATCTCTTTGAATTTATTATCCTCACACCTTGACTTATGCCCATGTTCATGTTTAAATATTGTTGTAAGGAGTACTCGTTGCTAAACTCCTCAATTTAGCCTATTTTTGGAAAAGGCTTCAAATCAATATTTTACAGAAAATATTATCGAATATTCGAGATTTTGTGAGGCTTGTAAGCATTGTGTTGTTGGTTAAAATATTAACTTGTCAGATTTTTTTTAAAATCAGCTGATTTGAGATTTTTGTCCTTTTTGGATAATTTTTTTTTTTAAAAGTCAAATAAATGAAAAACTCTAGATTAAAATCAAGAAAGAGTAATATGATAAAATTATTACAATTTTGACCAATATCTATCAGCCAGCACTTGCATAAATGAAAAACATTTTCTCCTTCAAAAGGTCCTCGATTTAGTCTATTTAAAAATATCACAAAATGTCAGCCCCCAAAAGTGGGTTATATTTTGTGCTAGCGCAAATTAGAGTCACTAGCATTTACAATCTCAAGCTGCTCGAATTAAAAAATTAAAAAGATTTTTAAGATAACATTTTAAAAATGACAAAATTTTTAAATTTTTGGAGGGCTCTCTAAATTTTTCAGGGGGTCCAGCCCCTGCGCCCCCTACCACGACCCCCCCCCCTCTAATGACTCTATCGCCAAAAATACAAAATGAAGATTTCAAATTTTATGTAATGCCAATTTTGCTTTTTTTAAATATCGTGATTGTAAAACCATTTTCATTTTGGCCTCAAAACACATGTTATAATAATTTGTATTTTAAATAGCTGAAGGAATGAATATTTTTGCCCCAATATATCTTCCCTAAGATGAAGATCGATCGATGGCATCTAAATAATATACATATATCTAGTTTAAAAACATCAAATGCTAATCTATGCCTACACATAGATTTGTCAAAAATTTGATATCAATCCAACCAATGAAAAATTTATTTTATTTCATATGATCAAGGGAGTTCAGCTGCCAGAGCATATGCGATCGCTATCTATTTCTAAAAACTGTTTAATAATTGTCTTGTAGCTCACTTTAGAAGTTCTAACGTTTTTGCCTATTACTCGTCCTCCCAGGAAATCATGTTCATAGACCTTCTTATTTCCTTGGAAAATATTTTCTACCATGGTTGTTTTTGTTATTTGATCTGCAATTTTTTGAATATTTGCAGTTTTAATATGTTTTCAATCTCACCCAAAAAATCAATCAATTAATCAAACAATCAATCATTATCTGGATTTTTTTACATTATACATTTTCTAAAACCGATTTTTATAAGTATAATATAAAGAATATTATAAATGAATAAAATAAGGATTAAAATCATTTTCAGTGGATTATCTCTGTGAAGGATATTCGTCAAACTCAACCTTCGGTAATCCTGATTTACGCATGCGTGTTATATACAGTAAGTACCATTTGCTAGTCCCGGCCCGGATTTTTTCAGCCGTTTTTATATTTTCAGGCCCGGTCTGATTGTAAAAATTTCAGACCCGCCCCAGGTAAAAATAATTAAAAGTCTCTGATAATTATTACCTTTGATTAGTTTCTCCACGAGGACAAACTTTCCTCCACTTCCGATTTTTGTGCGCAGTTTGAAACCTATTTTGACCAGATCCCAAAGAGGTAGCTGGTAACTTTCCTAACCCTAACCCCGAAAAGCGAAACTGATAGGCCGATTTATTACAGCCATTTTTGCAACAGTTATTCGTATACTTTAAATCTATTAATGATTATTATGATGGTTCCTTAGGGATAATTAACTTATTTTGCTTTATAAAATTATAATATTTTTTAAAAGAATTTGCTATCTTTATCCCAATTTCTTTCTTTCTTTCTTTCTTTCTTTCTTTCTTTCTTTCTTTCTTTCTTTCTTTCTTTCTTTCTTTCTTTCTTTCTTTCTTTCTTTCTTTCTTTCTTTCTTTCTTTCTTTCTTTCTTTCTTTCTTTCTTTCTTTCTTTCTTTCTTTCTTTCTTTCTTTCTTTCTTTCTTTCTTTCTTTCTTTCTTTCTTTCTTTCTTTCTTTCTTTCTTTCTTTCTTTCTTTCTTTCTGGGGTTCTTAAAAGTAACAATACATTTAACATTTTTTGTAAATTATGTAAATTTGTCGCGCATTTCTGTATAGATATTTTTGATTTGTTCGCTATAAAAAAAATATTTTAAAAAGTAATAAAACCATAAAATTAAATTTATTTTTTAAATATCTAAATAAAAAATATATTAAATAAGGTTTTTAGGTCAGTATATATAAATAATAAAATATAAATTTTCCAAATATCTTGATTTTAAAAAAATAATTCTTAAAATTTATATAAAATATTATTTTTGTCTAAATTTTTTTAGATAACCGATAATTTATTCAAAGAAAAGAAGAAAAAAAATGAAAATACAGAAAAGAAATCAGATTAAAAATGAGAAAAAAAATGATTAATTAAATAAAAAAATAAATAAATAAATGCAAACTTTGTTCATAATGTCCGGCAACATAATTCCTTTTATCTCGAGCAGCCTTTTCGTCTTCTGTTAAAAATTCATCCCCTTCCTCGTAATTTTCTGGATCCATGGATCGTCTCTTTCTCACATTATTCTTCTGCTTCTAAAAAAAAAGAACAGAAGGAAAATAAGGAAATTTTTACTTCATGATATCACGACTAAATTGCTATAATTACTAATTACATTTTTTTCACATAACCCATCATTGTAAAATTTTATACTAGAAACTAATGTTAACGGGGGGAGGGGCAGGGGGGGGGGGCTTGGCGCTTTTTTTGTAAACTTTGGTCTATATCAATGACATAACATTCATAAAAGTGTACATCGATGAAAACAGCTGGGGACGCCATTTATTAAAAATTTTAAACGAGAGTCTAATTTATTCCTATGTCTGACGCAAATTTTATTAAAGAATTGCCTGATGATCGAGATAATAAGGAAGCTAGTTATCGATTTAATAGTAGTTTTTAACGTGAGGATAGTTACTATATGGGTTACCAAAATGGCGGGTCCAGCTGATTTGTATTCAACGACGCTTCCAAATGCATTATTTATGAATACATCGTCAGTCTAGGGCATTGATATATGTCATTGGTCGATATACAAGTCCAAATTATTTCTGTGCTTCGTGTTAGGGTTACAACATGGTGTTTTAAAGTCTTCATAAATCTAAAACTCCTTCATCCTCTATCAATTTTTTTTCAAATTTTATTTTTCTAAAAACAGCAGGTCACTCCTCGCCATTTTTGAAATTTTTTTTCCTTAATGAATGATAACACAAAATATTAGGTTACCAAACTAATCTGCGGTTATAAAACACCTTAAAATTAACGCCCATCAAAATCAGAAGATTTTTTTAAACTTAAAAATGTTATCAAAAGGTGATGGCATAGCTGATAAAATTATGGCATGATGAGAAAAATTGAAATTGCTTAAGTTTGATTCATGATATAATAATTGTGCAGTCTGACGCTGCTCTGAGGTGACTTCGTATCGAGTGTTGTTAAAGGGATCGATTTGAACAACCGATTTTTAAAAACGGATAACTCAATATTTTATCGATTTTGATCATAGATATGGCACAAGGTCTAGACATCGATCAGGGAAATCTCAAGGCTTAAACAATATTTTTCTGGCTAGAATATTGAATCAGCGGTTTTTAAAAATCGGCTCAAAACGAGCCGTTTAACAACACTATTCGTATCCTAGGATTTATAATATCTGCTAAATAGCCCCAAAAATTTCCCGATCTAAATCCCCTAGATTATCCTGCGCGGAAAGAAGTAAAAACCTTAATCATAAAAAATGGCTACTTATCACCTTCGAATTTTAGACGAACTTGGAAAAAAAAGGTAAAGTTCGGCTCTTAATTTGTCAAAAAAAACGAGCGTTCGATCTACAGAAGAAGAGATTGTTAGTTAGGGTTAGTAGTCAATATTAGTTATGTTTTAGTATGCCCATCCGCCCATTCCCCCCATACTTTCTAAGGTTCATGGCAAAATTGGCTGAAATTTCTAGGGTAAATACTCTAAACATGCCAGAATCCATTTCCGGTTAAATCGGATTTTAAAATTTTTTAAATCGCCCTAGCTAAAGGATTTAAAATCACGGATTCCGAATCCCCATACGACATATATATATATATATATGATATAAATAAGATTATTACAAAAAATAAGTATAATTCTCTATAATAATTTTTTTTTCATTTATTTATAGGCGGTTGTAAGGCTGGTTAAAAAATTTTTGAATATTGAGCGGGCGGTTTAACGGGATGATTTTTAAAACTAATGGGCCACAAGGATGTGGACCGGTGTTTTTGAATTATTTTTTGGGGCAAAATGAACCGTTTTTAATAAATTATTATTTTTTATTTCAATATTGCACATAAGTAATCATAAATGAGGAGCCAAACCAGCTGATCAATCAATTCTAAAATTGGACTTGGCGGGTAAAAGCGATTTTTTTCTAGATGAATTCAAAAACTACGAGCTAGGAGGGCGGGCGCGCGAGGCGGATCAAATTTGTTTATAAAGGTCCTGAACTCTAGAATTTTGTTCAGTTTTCTTTCTTTCTTTCTTTCTTTCTTTCTTTCTTTCTTTCTTTCTTTCTTTCTTTCTTTCTTTCTTTCTTTCTTTCTTTCTTTCTTTCTTTCTTTCTTTCTTTCTTTCTTTCTTTCTTTCTTTCTTTCTTTCTTTCTTTCTTTCTTTCTTTCTTTCTTTCTTTCTTTCTTTCTTTCTTTCTTTCTTTCTTTCTTTCTTTCTTTCTTTCTTTCTTTCTTTCTTTCTTTCTTTCTTTCTTTCTTTCTTTCTTTCTTTCTTTCTTTCTTTCTTTCTTTCTTTCTTTCTTTGTTATACTTCGCCCACTTTACCTCTATAGCTGTTCAATTCTGGAATTTCGCCTTTGATTTGAAAACCATTAGAACAGAAATTAAATATTCTTTTTTTTTCTATAAACAATTTAAATCATATTTTCATTATTTATTTCCCTTTCCTTTGTTTTTTTTATATTAAAACTAAAATTACATTTAAAACATAATTATTGCATTTTAATCAAAAATGTCAACGGTCGGTTTTTGAGTTTAAACTGGCCCGTTGCAAACTTCTAATATGAAATTGTCTATTAAGAATATAATATATTGGGGGGGGGGGGTAGTAAGTTTAGATAAGTGTGACCTTTTATTTTTATCAACTCGTGTTAATTTGCTTACACTGTAGAGGGCCAAAAGTGGTGTTCATTCCCATAATTACGGACTGTGGCGTCACTAGCGTTTTCCAATTTTTAGGAGGAAGTGGGGGGGGGGCTCAATTTTTCAAAATTTTACAAATTAGCCAAAAAAGGAAGATAATTATAATTTAAATTTAAAAATGAAATTCAAAGTCGGGAAGCTTTCGAACTTTTTAAAAGGCCTTTAGCCTCTTAAACCCCCCTTCCCCCCTTTACTCACCTCTATACTAACTCTTGTATGTAGTGTTATTAAACGGCTAACTCAATATTTTAGCCAGAAAAATATTGCCCAAGCTACAAGATTTCGATAATATATGTCCAGATCTTTGTTCCTGCTATGAGCAAAATCTTCAGGCTTGAGTAATATTTTTCCGGATGAAGCACATCGAGTTACCGGTTTTTAAAAAAATCGACTCAAAACTAACCGTTTAACAGCACTACCTGTAGGTGTGATAAGAAATCAAATTTTGAATCTCGAATTTGATAGAAATATAGGATAGAGATATAATTATCGCGTGTTATTTAGTTGTTATGGAACACCTATCAAGAATCTTGAAAAGATTGTAAACGAATACAAAGAGAATTTGAGAAAACGAGGCCCATCAACAAAGCAAATAAAGAAAATTATTTATAAACACGCATCATATCTTTCAGCTGTTAAGCTATAGAAAGAAAGATTCCATGTTTTTCACATTTTAATAGTAATTGAACATACATTAATGGATATTCAAAAATTGTCTAAATCGGCTTGGTTTACAACTAGTTCTGCAGGCCTCTAACATCATAATAACTTCATGCTAAAGGAATATATTTAAAATCTTGATCAAAATTGAATTGGAATTGAGATTTAAATATTTACGAATATCTTCTAACCCTCTTACATTAAAACTACACTACAAATTAGTATTTCTTAGGTAGATTTAACCAGAAGAATCACGTGTCAAAAGCTGAAATTGATGAAAAGTGGAATTGGAACATTCAAATTTTCAAAATTAAACAAAATAAAGTTTAATTTTATTATATATAATATAATACATATTCTTTTTTTTACAACCATGCTTAGGCTCGCCCTTCTTTCTTTCTCTCTCTCTCTCTTTCTTTCTTTCTTTCTTTCTTTCTTTCTTTCTTTCTTTCTTTCTTTCTTTCTTTCTTTCTTTCTTTCTTTCTTTCTTTCTTTCTTTCTTTCTCTTTCTTTCTTTCTTTCTTTCTTTCTTTCTTTCTTTCTTTCTTTCTTTCTTTCTTTCTTTCTTTCTTTCTTTCTTTCTTTCTTTCTTTCTTTCTTTCTTTCTTTCTTTCTTTCTTTCTTTCTTTCTTTCTTTCTTTCTTTCTTTCTTTCTTTCTTTCTTTCTTTCTTTCTTTCTTTCTTCTTTGGTAACAGATATCGGTATATTCGTATTTTTGTTGGTATGATAGGATTTCATATTTGGGCCAAGACCTAAAGTCGGCCAGTGAGAGGATAGGGCATTTTAGATATGTGACCAAGCATGATGTTACCTTGAGTCTCCTACAAATGTACAAATTCTAAATTTCACAATTTATAATTTCGTTTAAAGAAAATATTATTTAACAAAAACACAGATATGGATAAATTATTTTTTTCAGGGTGTGCTTCTGTAGTACGAATAAAACATATAGAGATGTATCATTAGTTAGAAATGGGGGGAGGGGGATATTCTTCTTCACAAACCTAAGAAATATTTTTCCAGGAGAAACATGGGTGCCTATTGTCACATTTATGATAAATAAAGAGAAAGATATTTTTATTAGATTGATTGATTGAAGAGGTAATCAGGAACTAATAAGATTGAGATAACTATACCCAAAACCAACAGAAAGGTGGGGGGAGGGGGAGGGCAATAGGGAGCAAAGTATAATTTTTTCTTCTTCTCACCCTAAATCAGAATTCAAATTTAAAGACTGAATGTATTTATTCATTAGATACTAGAAATATAATTCTAAGGATAAATTGCTAAAATGTTGTCTAAATATCTAAATTATAAAATAAATTTAGTTCAAAAATAAATCGATTCGAAATTGAATGGGGGGGGGCATTCCTCATCCTCAACCTCATCTTCAGTCTGGTTAACAGATACCCAAATAAACTTTCGAATCAAACTCTATTCTAAATAAATGTTTATGATATTTCCAAACCACCTTTTTAGTAAACGTAAATATGGTGTGGTTGGTATTGCAGGATATATCATAGGCTGCTGCGAGCTATCCACAATTTAAAATTTTATCAAGAAATATAACGATGAATTTAATATTACATTTTTTCTTTTTTAAAAAGTGACCTATATTAATATTTTTTTTTCGGTGATAATAAGTAGAACATATAGTAAAGAACTCTCCTTAAAAATTTGCAAATTTGTTTAATTATATGTTTCGTTTACCATTAGGTGAAACATTTTTTTTTTCCCCATTTAGAGATCATAATGATGAATTACAAATAGTTAGAACAATTAATATACAGCAAAATTTTGATATATTAACAAGGATTGTCTGAATTATTTTCTAAAAAAAATACCCTCGATGGGCCGGGCTTAAAAATATTTTTAAAAATATATCCGGGTATTTTTTCTAAAAAAATGCCCTGGTGCCTGAATTTTATTTTAGAAAACTATCCGGGCCTGGCAGTATATTTTAAGACCAAATATTTGAAATCGCCATTATTAAAAATCAAAAATAAATATAATATATTTTAGAAAAATCCGACCAAATAAAAAACCCGACCGGGGCCGAAAAAAATATTTGAAAAAAAAATCCGGGCCCGGTCGTGCGAATTGTACTTCTGTAGGTCTCTGAGATAGATAAAATCGTTAATTTATTTAAGTCGCGATCATTCTAATCTAGAATTGGCAAAGCCCCCAAAATACTCCTCCCCCATTTTTGGCTCATTAAAAATTTTTTTGTATTTCCGTTTCATCACATATAAATAAATTTTCCCCAGAGTCGTTTAAGCGTCTATTATATCTCTCCTCTAGGGTTACAAATATGTACAACAACCGTTTTATAAATCAATTGCTCGATATTTGTATAGTGTATCCTAATTCGATCATATCATAAACAACTTGTTTTAGTTAGACTGCTCTTAAAATACAAAAGAATGTTTTAAAATAGTTATTAAATCATTAAAATAACTTGATATTCAAAAAAAAAATGAATCAAAATTTTGATACTCGGACTACAGTCTAATAAAACTTTTTCGAAAAATGAGAGATTTTACGAAACACCCGCCTAATTTTTTATAGCACGAATTTTCCTATCCCGCGCCAAATCTTTTTTATACGAAATTTCCCCGCACCGTTGCAATTTTTTAAACAAGGCCGGGCTTCGGTGTAATCTCGAGGCCTAGATAATGTATGTTTGACCAAAAACTTTTTATTTTTAGCTGTCAGCTCACATATGGTATGTATTTACAGAATATTGTATCTTTCTGATACATGCTAAATTATCAGACTTAAATATTGAATTCGGTTTAGTGTTGTTAAGAAGCCCCATTTAAGTCGATTTTCCAAAACGTCCTGTCCCGATTAAGATTTTAGCTTAAATAATATTATGGTTAAGAAGCGTGGAGATTTGGAATGTAGAGGTCCAAGCATTTCTGCCAGCTATGTGCAAAATCTTTAGGGTTATATAATACGTTATTTTGGTTATAATCTTAATAGGCCAAATCGGGTTTTTTAAACAACACTAATTCGGATTATATGGAAACATTTTTAAAAATCTTTAGAATATCTTAGAACATAGAACAAAGGATTAGAACTACTGCGAAGATTGAAAGAAGGGGGCCACACCTTTCTAGAGAAATGGAAATGTCCAGGGTGAGATAGAATTTTGTTTGGCTAAAAATTGTGATTTAACCGGCAAATAAGCAATAATCTTAACATTACCGATCACTACAAAACTTTATGAAGGTTTATTTTGAACATTATAAAGAGATATGATGATTTATTTATTTATTCATTTTAAAAAAAAGTTTATATAAATGCTACTTGTTCAGGGCCAAATATAATGTCGTCTATATTGTCCCTTGTTTCTAGCGCAGAACTTGTAATAACAATTGGAATATCCAAAAAGGGGCCTAATTCAGAGTTAACCTCATTACTAACCCTTAGACTGGCTATTGCACCGACAGATTTATCAATGTCTGTCAAATTTCTGTTAGAACTTTCGTATGTTTCAACTTCGTTTCTCGTATCGGGATACCGTTTATTAGGTACCGAAGAATACTTGAGCAATATGGAATCCAGAGAGTCCCCATATCTTGTGTCATAGGCATCTACTGAGAGAATAGAATTTATATCGAAAACCTTTGAGGTCATGTCATATTGTCCATCCTTTATACTCAACAATAAGGAGTAAAATACTGGTAAGGTTAGTACGCTCAGCAACGAAGCGAATCCAAAACACAGTAACAACACGTGATTAAAGGTTGAAGAATAGCAGATATTTCGGTGTTCTTCCTCTTCCAGAATCTTTTTGGGATATGTGACATTGCCATTGGAGCATAAATTTTTGGTATTATTCATATATATTTCGCAGGGGGTAATTTCTTATAAAAATTATTGGCAAAAATATTGAACAAAAAATTCTTTAATAGTCTTTTTCTCCTCGGAGAGAGAATAGTTCTTATTATGATATACTTTTATATAAATTTATTTCAAAAAATTTAATCTAAAAAAAACATTAATTATTGATTTCATTTTAAAAATATTTTTTTAAAAAAGAAATTAAATTATTTAATTTCCAGAGGTAGTGAAATTAAAAAGAAAATATTTTTTTATAAAAATTTTAAAAAAAGCTTAAATTTAAATAAATGAATGTATGAATAAAGAAGAGTCATTCTAAAGACAAACAACATGCTCCACATATTTTTAATTAAGTATTTTATATTTTTTAAAACTCAATTTTATTTGTAATAATGTCCAAAATTTATTTTAAAAAATTCGAAAAGTTTTAAAACTTTTGCAAATTTCAAAATTACAATGATAAATTTTCAGAAAGTTATATTTTGGGCATGTTTTTAATTTTATATTTGCCTTCTCTACTTATTTTCATGAAAGTTTCGACAGTTTGAGAATTTAATTTTTCGATATTATAATAATCGAGATATTTACCTAATTTTATTGACATTATATTTTTTTATACGAAAATCTAAAAATTATTATTAATTAATTATTTTTTAAAAAAAATGTCTAGTTGGAATATATTAGCCCATTTTTGCATCGTCATCATTATTATCATCTGTTTTTATGCTAAATCCGAAAATTTTCTAGAATAAAAATAGATAAATATAAATATAATTCGTAACTTTAGGTACATTACGAGCAAGCCATTTCCAAAACCGGGCCAGGGTCTGTCAGTATATTAACTATACCTGGGCCAAGCCTGAAGAATATTTTTTTTAGAATTCCCGGGCCGGGCCTTGTATTTTAAATCGCCATTAATAGCTCGAAAAAATTAAAAATAAATAAAATATATTTTTAAAAAAAGTCCGGGCCAGACCGGGCCTAAAAATATAAAACCGGGACCGGGCTAAAAAATTTTTAAAAAAAATCCGGGCCGGACCGGGTATAAAAATATAAAACCGGGACCGGGCTAAAAAAAATTTTAAAAAAAAATCCGGGCAACCGGGCCGGGCCTAAAAATATAAAACCGGGACCGGGCTAAAAAATTTTAAAAAAAAACCGGGCCGTGCAAATGGTGCCTCTACAGGTCTCTGGTATATTATGCAAGCGATGCGATTGCGAATTTACTCAAAGGCGTTTTGCCGACTAGGCCTTTAAACGTAAAAATTTTTCTCTAATTTATAAATGTATAATGATGAGTTTAGATAAGAGTAACATACTATAGAAATGAAAATTTATAGGAACCAAAATTAATAAAGAATTTACAAATACAGAGTAAAAAGATACTTTTATCTACAAAAATGATCATTCTAAAAAAATAAAATTGGTTACAAGTCCCCCCCCCCCCCCCCCCCCCAAAAAAAAATATGAATACATTTTTCGGGGTTCTGATATAAGAGCTCTGATTTTGTCGACTATATTTTTTTTAGAAAAACTTTTAGTTTTCTACTTGATTAGAGTTTTTAAAATGCTCGATTTGAGCCGACTTTTAAAAATGGCTAACTCAACTCATGGATTTCACAAAAGTTTTTAACAACATATGTTTCTTTGTCACACCAATATCGACCGAATTCGAATTAACATATTTTGGAAAGGAAGAGAGACATGTGAAGTCCGCTTCAGGTCATCACCTGATCATTAATGATGAGCACACTGTTGTTTGGGTATTCGAGCTCTCGAAAGATTACGGCTAATTATTGACTTAACTATTTACATTAAAGACCAGATATCTTCCCCTGGAATCAATCTGCATTTTTACATTTTGTGTTTGTGGTTCAACAATATCACATCCGCCTATGGAAACTCTGATTGGTTTATTTTATAAGAGGTTGAAAAAGAAATTATGCCAGAGCCTGGAAGGGGATGCCGGGAAAATAATCCTATGTTACTGTTACAATTCCTTATATGAATTGTAATCAAATTGTCGAAGGCTCGTGGGAGAGACTTTAATGAATTTAATGGAACCTAGTATTAATAAAAAAAGAATATATAAAAAATTAAATAATTCGGTTAATAAATCTAACGAAACCAAATCTCGAATTTTTTACCACAAAAATAAGTTTTTTCAATTATAAAACCATAAACTAACTTTTATTTTAAAATTTTTTCATATATATACATTTTTTTAATATAATAAATTTTAATATATTTAAAAATGTTTGAAAAATATATAATAATACTATTAAAAAAAAAGAACGGAGATGGTGTGACGCAGGGAAACAAAAATGAAAAAGGGACGTAAGCGTTGTCTATGATAGCTCTTTGGCTAGAAGGCTACCATTGAAACTGATATAATTAGCTTTGTGAATCGCTATGGATAATCGTTGACGAAGAAAAAAACCTTCTCGTGGTTCTTCTGAGAGTTTGCTGATTTGTGATCCTAAGTTTTTGAAAAATGCTAAGGCGAGTTTGCCGAAGGTGCCAAGAGTGGTTGATATGATTGGGATGAAGCAATGATCGTTTATTATTTCTGTGTATTTAGAAATTTTAAGTTGTTCCTTCTGGTCAAGGATGTTGATGGCGTGGTTGGATGGGGCCAAGGGGTCAATACAGGAATAGTCCCATACCAAAAGTTGGCCTCTCCTCCATGGGATTTGAGAGATCCCATCAAAATATATTAAAATTTATTATAATGAAAATTTAAATTATTATACCTTATATTGATAATAAACTATATTTTTTTAATATGCAAAAAAAATTTAAAAATTCATAAAAAATAATTAAAATTACAAGTATTCTTAAAAAATAATTAAAATTACAAGTATTCTTAAAAAATAATTAAAATTACAAGTCTATTCAAGTTCATAAAAAAAATATTCATACATCGCATATTCAAATTGATACTTAACAATCGTCGACATATTCACAAACTAACAAATTATATAAAAATATAATTTATATTCAAATTACATATTCACAAAGCGAATATAACAGTTACAACTTAGTAAACCTTCAATCATTAACTCCTAGGAAAATCGGTATTTTTATAATTAATCGTTTCACAAATTTTTAATCCTTTTCCCCTAATCCCCGGTTATAAGGAAAAAATTTTTCATGATTTGATTCCCTATAGCTTATAATTTTCTAAAAAATCAATTTAATAGTTTTATCAGTTTAGAAGTCAAAAATATTGGAAAATGTTATGTAAAAAGTTTAGTAATTTTACTGACAAATAATTTTACCTAGAGCTAGACTGTGCATTCATTAAAAGTGTACACCAATGAAAACAGTTGGGGACGCCATTTTGATTACCCATATCATTATCAAAAATTTTAAAGCACAAGAGGCCAATTTATTCCAATTTCTGACGTAAACTCTGATCATCGAGGTAATAAGTAAGCAAGTTATCAAATTTAATATTAGTTTTTAACACGAAAATAATTACAATATTGGTTACCAAAATGGCGGCTCCAGCTGATTTGTATTCGACGACGCTTTCGAGCCTATTATTATGAATGCGTCGATGGTCTACTTATTAATTATACGTCATTGAATAATTTATAAATTATAATAGTCTTTGAAAAAAATGTAACCTTGGTAAATAAAAATACGAGCATTCAAAAGCTTTCATAAAGAAAATAATTTTAACGAAATATATACGAGCCTAATTTTTAAAAAGGGCTAACTCAAAATTTTAGCCAGGGAAATATGGTGTCTAAGCCTCGAGATTTCTTTAATAGATGTTCAAACCTTTATGCCATTCTACAACCAAAATTTTAAGGCTCGCATAATATTTTTTCTGGATAAAATATTGAGTTCTCAAATCGAGACGTTTAACAACACTACTTATAAAGTCAAATATAGTTCCAAATGTTTTGGTTTCTCATAGAAAGTAAGATAATTTTTGCTTATCGATATGAATTATGTAACAATGTCTGTCCACAGTGATCTGCATCGGGCCTAATTAAAAAATTTTGCCAGCTCGGCCCGAATTTATTTAAAATATAGAAATAAAATATATTTTTTAAAAAATTAGATACATATATGTCATATGCGTTTAGTTTGTACTACAAGTAAAATTAAATTTGCGCATTTTTTTTTATATTTTATGATTCAACATAAAATTGATAAATTTAAGATATATTTGAAATTTTTTACAAGTCCGACACGACCCGGACCGAATTTTATTAAAAAATATTAGGTGAACCACTTCAGAACTTTAATGTCCTCCATAAATCATATCGCGCAGGGATGGGCATTTGTCTAAAATTTTAATGAATTGATATAAAATTTTTATTTGATATATAAATTTTAGTAGTAAATTACAAATGTGCCCCAAATACATGATAAATGTATGTAAATAGTATTAAATAATTTGTAGCAAATGACTCAACGATGGCAAATTTAAAAGATCTTACCAATCGTTTTATATTCAATTCGTTAGCGAAAAATGTTTTGGTCGGGTAGTATTTATATTATTTGATTGCTAGCATCCTAATCTTGGCGTATCCCAAGCATAGGATGTTCATTCATGGAGTCTCGTTCATTGATAGTATATATTTTAGATAATTAATCTTTATTTCAGAGCCAAGATCTGACCTAGTTAGTTAACCCTTGCTGAGATCCTCAGTCCTAGCAGAGATCCGGTGCCCCAACTTTATGAAAAAGGCTAGGAGATGAGAGCCGAACAATGTTAAAATTATGGCGATTTGGACAGGAATGCCTAGTTGGTAAGTAGTGATAGCTAATATTTAGCTAGTTTATTCGTCTT